TAGCAATTAAAATTAAAAGCCGAGGGATTTTGGGGCAAGTGGCGTAACACTATTACGTGATGGCATCCGCAGCAATTAGTATGTACAACACGGGTCTTGGTAAGTCGGACACGTCTAAGTTGAAGGGTTTTGATCATCGTAGACACACATATATATATATTAAATAAATTTTATTATGATCAAGAGATCGAGGATTTTTCATTGATTCAACAATTGTCAACAAATAAAATGAGTGATGTTTATTTTTTGTTGTTGGTCTGCCTGACGATTACCGAGAGCTGACGGTTAACCGTTAGGTTACGGGCAAGCAAAAGTGAACAAAGTTGTGTCTCTGGAGCTTGCGGTACCTTAAGAATAAATATATATACTGTAGCCTCAGTTTAAGTAATCCACTACGTAATATATTGGATAACCTTGGCTTCCTTTTTTCGGTTTTTATTTTAGGGCTACCGTACCACGGATAGTAATCATAGGTAAGTGACACTAAGCCTTTTTATTTTTGCTAAAAGATTTAGAGGATTTTTTTTTGAACATTTAGATTATTTTTTTGAAGGTATCTGAGGAAAATCCTGATTTTTGGATATTAAATTAGGATTTTTTTGGCTAAAATTAATAAATGTCACTTCTAGAGGATTTAATTCTGCGTAAAATAGTGTATAATAATAATAAGTTTGGATGATGCAAGTAAATGTTCGAAGCCTTTGAAAATTTTTTTGGCGAATTTTTAAGAATTCGCAACTTATTTGCATTAAATTGTGATCTATTTAGGTTTAAAAATTTTTTTTTGCAAAAAAAATGATTGTAACTTGTAGAGGACTAAATTCTGCATAAAATGATGTATAATAATAATAAGTTTGAATGATGCAAGTAGATGTGCGAAGCCTTTGAAAATTTTTTTTGGCAAATTTTTAAGAATTCGCGACTTTTTTGCATTAAATTGTGATCTATTTAGGTTTAAAAATTTTTTTTTGAAAAACAAATGAATAGAGCTTGTAGAGGACTAAATTCTGCGTAATATGATGTATAATAATAATAAGTTTGAGTAATGTAAGTAATTGTGCGAAGCCTTCAAAAATTTTTTTTGTGAATTTTTGAGAATTGATGATTTTTTTTAATTAAATCATGATTTTTTTAGCTAAATAAATTTTTTTCTATTAAATAACGTAGTGTATCTTGTACGGGACAAGATTCTGCATAAAATAACACGCTAGACTATTTTTTCCAAGTATTCTTAAAAAAAAATAGTTATAATAAATTTTCTTCCATGAACTTGAGAGTGCACGTAACCGGTAAGAAAAAATATGTATAATATATGCTGCGTGTATGAATATACTACACAGCCTCCATCTTGAGTTACAGTGAGTATAATAATTGCGCAATAAACTTGAGAAAATTTTCTTACTTTCAGATCTAACAATTGTTGCATGCGAACTTGACAATGGAACGCAGAATATATATTAAAATAAAATATTATTTTCTCACTAGTTTTATTCTTATTTTTTATATTCATGTTTTATTTATGTATAAAGATTATAATTGCGGGTACTGATTAACCGAGCGGGTACCTGCATTCTATACTCTATAGGTTACCCAGGTAAGCGTAATGATAATAAGCTAAATAAATATATAAAAATAATATTATATGAAAAAGTTTTGTGATTTTACGTGTTTACTTTCAGAGCGACCCGTTATTTTTTAAAACCAAGAGTCGCGGGTGATTCAAGAATCCGGGTATAATGCCCGGCCATTTACGTCACTATATATGCGTCATCATTTACCCACTAATTAATATGAGTATCAGGTGATAATTTTTTCAATTTAGGTTACATGCTCCTTTTATGTGATGCCTAAAATCATTTTGACGGTACGAATTTATTTTTTTAATATAGTTACGTTGGTGGAAAAAATTTTAAATCCTCATGATTTTATGCTGAATTTAGTCCTCTGTTAGGTACAACCATTTATTTTTCAAAAAAAAAATTTTAAACCTCAATAGATCCTAATTTTATGCAAAAAAGTCGAAAATTTGCCAAAATTCATGAAAAAATTTTTTTATTGAACTTAAAAAATGATTGGATTATTTAAAATCATTTTTATTATACATCATTTTACGCGTAATGAAGCCCTCTACAAGGTACAGCTAGTAAAAATTCAAAAAAAAATTTTTAAACCCAAATAGATCACGATTTTGTGCAAAAAAGTTGCAAAATCATGAAAATTGATGAAAAAAAATTTCAATTAAACATTAAAAATAATTAGATAAATGAAAATCAATGTTATTATACATCATTTTACGCAGAATTAAATACTCTAGAAGATATATTCATTGATTTTTAAAAAAAAACTTTTTAAACCTCAATAGATCACGATTTACCGAAAAGAAATGCAGTCCGTGTAAAATAATCAAGGTATTCTATTTTATATTTTGAATTCTCACGTATATAATACAAAAAAATTTTTCCACCGCTACGGACTAGAGACTAGACATAATATTAGTAGCAACAACTATTATAAAATAGTATATGTAATGACCGTCAGCGGAACTTTAAGTCCGCAACAGTGGCAGTGAACTCTCTCTGGTTCTTTCTCTTTCTTTGGCTCCCCTCTCTCTCCCTATTTCTTTCTCACTCTTACCGCTGATGTCTCTCTCGACTCGTTGTTCTATCTTTTTACAAACACGTTTGTCCGTAAAAGGAAACAGACATGACTTGAATCGGAATTACTACTATATATATTATGTGTGTATATATACGTACATATATGCATTTAATAGCCTAGCGGGCTTGGACGATACAAAAATCCCTTTTTTAGATTTTTTTTTTTCTTCAAAAATGGACTGGGAATTTCGACCTTGAAAATTTTTATCTCTTGAAGCTAAATCTGAGTTACATATAAGAGATAAGAATCAAAATAAATAAGAATCAAAGGATCAAAATTAAAATTCCTGAAATTTTCCGTAATATCAGTCTCTTATAATAAAAATAATGTTATTTCTAAAATCTTACGCTAGGCTAGAGCTAATATAACGGATAGTCGGCAATTTACATCAGTTATTGCATAAGCAGATCTTGGCCTTGACATTGCATCTTGATTGCGCGGCATATTATTGCACAATAAACCTATAATCCGTTTGATACAACCAAACCAGAGAATAACAATAAATAAAATGAAATATAAATAATTACTTTAGAGATTACGACAGCGTAACATTACGGGTATATTACGTGTCCAAGTCCCAAAGGCCCGAGATTGGGATGGGCGGACCCAAATACAAACCCACAAATACAATTACAGATACAGAGAAAGTCTTCGATCTCAGATGGGTTTTTATCTTAGTTGCTAAGCGAGGCAACTTGGCCAGGAAAATCTCATAATTATCTTCAATGTAATAATACCCAACCAGTGATTTCAATGCTCGAAGGAAAGACAGCTCAGAATAATTATTTTTTTAGTCTCATTATAGAGTCACTGTCTCCGTCATCTGTTTATTACAGCCTTCCACATATTTTTTTATTTTTTAATGGTAGATCTATCTAATGTGAAGGCGTAGAAACAATGAATTTTATCACTTTTACATTTATATCCTTCATGTATTAATGACAATGTCTGTAATAAATCAAACTTAAGCCAAGGTCATCGGGTTTAGACAACCTTTCGATAATTGTTATTCATAGATGTTATTTCTATTGCTGATTTTTAGATAGTTGTCGCAAGATAAATTATTATTATTATATATCATTTTGTGCAGAATTGAGCCCTCTACAAGATACAATCATTCATTTTTCTAAAAAAAATTTTTAAACCTAAATAGATCACAATTTAATGCAAAAAAGTCGAAAATTCTTAAAATTTGTGGAAAAAAATTTTGAAATTCATTTTAAAAATAGATGGACTATTCAAAATCAATATTATTATATACAATTTTATGCAGAATTGAGTCCTCTACAAGATACAATCATTAATTTTTCTAAAAAAAATTTTTAAACCTAAATAGATCACAATTTAATGCAAAAAAGTCGCAAATTCTTCAAAATTCTGCAAAAAAAACTTTCAATCAACCTTAAAAAATACCTAGATTTTCAAAATCAATGTTGTTATACATCATTTTACGCAGAATTGAGCCCCCTACAAGGTTCATCCATTTATTTTGTTAAAAAAAATTTTTATACTCAAATAGATCACGATGTAAAGCCGAAAATCCCGAATTTTTGCGAATCAACTATAAAAAAAGTGATAAACTATCGACTGAATAAAATTTTGCAACCCCCTGAGCTTTAAAAACCCCTAAAAGTATCCTCAAACAGGTATATTTCTCAAAAAAACCTGTAATACTCTAAAAGTACAGTATTATAACGCTGGATGAACAGGATGAGCTTAGGATCTAAAAGGTCCGTTTTAAAGCCACGAGGCCGGCATGGCAATGTCTTATGATACCAAACCCACTACTACATAACAAGAAAATACATCCATAATCTATAGTGAGAACCACAATATATACACCTCACAACTAACAATTCTCGAGCGGAGAACCGCTTGAGCGACTCTGCGTAGTAGACGCTTAGTAGAGACCAAGAGAGAGGGGCAGCTGGTATGTATTATGAGAGCCAAGGTAGCTTGTGTGGAGTAGTGTGGAGAGGGGAGTAGTGGAGTAACCGGGGCCAACAGGTACAAGTAAATACCTTCGAGGAATAAGTGGGGGAAAAAATGACTCTTAGCTCACGGTCGGGGCCCAGGGTCCCGTCCGACATCCAGGCAAAGCCCCAGTTGCTCGCGAGGATTCGTCTGCACCACACCTTAATTTTGTATATTAAAAAAACCCCTTAACGTAATCCAACAATCTCGAGTGATCTATGATCTATGATCTATGATCTATGACAATACCTAGTGAGTGGATCCATAGATCCCTCAGTGATCTATGATCAGTTTAATAACTAAAGTGAAGTTCAAGGTCAGATCAGTGATTTAAGTGTTGAGTTTAGTGATCTAGACTAGTGATCAGAATGCCGAAGATATTTCTGATAAAGAACCGGCTGCACCAGCAGCAGCTGAGGTTATTGGAGGCCCAGCACCTCAGCAAGTCACCCCCCAGTGGAAAGGATAGCCCTCTTACAACTGAACCACTAAGTCTAATTGTCAACAAGCACCAGTGTAAGTATTTAATAATAATTCCCTTTAATATTAACCTTCTTGTTATTTCTATTGGTGATTTTTAGATAGTTGTCACATGATAAATTATTATTATTATTATTATTATTATTATTATTATTATTATTATTATTATTATTATTATACATCATTTTACGCGGAATTAAGTCCTCTATAAGCTACATTTGCTTAATTTTCAAAAAAAAATTTCTTTCATCAAAAAAATCCCGATTTAAGTCACAAAAAGGTCGAAAATTTTCACCTACCTTTCTTTTACAGATCGCGATAAAACCGAGGACGACCGAGCCACAACACCAGAATCAGTTCGTAGTGTAAGTCCGCCTGGATCCCCCCCGCCACAATGGCAACCTTCATCGGGCTCCATAAATTCCGGTCCCCGGCGCTTTATCTCCAGCATCCTGGGCGGTGATGTTCCGTACGGCAGCCGCAGCCACGTATTAACCCGTGCGGAGCGCAAGGAGTACGGTAGTCCGGCGATCCTGCCGGAAAAACTGCCCCGAACACCGGAAAAAATAGACCTGCCGCGGCCGGTAACACCACCCAAGACCCCGAGAGTGGAACCACCCACCAGAGTGTCAGTGATCCAGCGAGTCCCCACCAGAAAGGAGACCATTGAAATTCCAAGAAGTGAGCCTGAACAGGAGCAGCCGATTGACTATGCGGTTCCTAAGAAGAAAGAGGAGGACCAGGAGGATGATAAGGAGGGTGCTAAAGCCTCCAGAATAGGAAATTCCATTGCCAGGCCGTTGTTGGCTATGCGGCTGTCCGCTCCACAGACGGTGAACTGTGCGGCGGGTCATGGCCGTGCTAGTTCAGGGTCTGGATCTTCAGGAAGTTCAGGAGGCAGTTCAGGAGGCAGCTACTCTGGTGGTTCCGGCGGTGGAGATCTTGGAGGCGCGCCAATTGGCGGTGGAGGAGTCGGCGGTGGAAGCGCTGGTGGTGGTGCTGGCGACGGCGGCATGAATCCTGGAGGAAACGGCCGGGGTAATTACGGACCGAGTTCGCCTCCATCTGGCTCGTTGCCGCCGTTTTATGAATCTTTAAAAGGCGGGAATAATTTAGCTAATTTCGTGAACCAATATGGCCAAAATGGGTTTCTGACGCCGACAAATGTTGGAATGGAGTGCGACACAGGTCAACCTGAGATCCAGCAGCAGTACAACGCTCAGGAGGGCAAGCAGTACTCGTTGCTACAAAATGTCTGTGCGTCTTACGGACTGGTCCTTAAAGAAGAGACTGACGAGGATGATCTAGCGGATTACAAAATCCAGCCGGATTTACTGGGTGGCCAGTACGGCTACGATGTGACGGATTCTGGGATGATGGTGGACATGGTAACTGGAGCGGTGGTGGACCCACTCCAATTCACGGCGACCTTGACATTTAGCTCTCCATCTGACCACACCGCGCTACTGGAGAGCCTAACCGACGCTGCGGAATTGTTCCTCCCTCGATTACCAGCCGATGAAGGTGGAACTGACTTGCTGGAAGACTCTTTGCACTCACCAGGGTCAGCTGAGGGACCTATGACCACTCCAGTGGAACCATCAGTCGATCCGTTCCCAGAACACAGTTTGGCTTTACGAGGATTCGATAGGCAGTACAACCAATTCTCCCTATCGAAGCTTCCAAGTCTTCCTTACCCTGAAGAGAGCAGCTACCAGCCTCTTGCCAAAGAACGCCCCGAGCTGGCTTTGCACATCAACCAAGGTCAGACTGAGCCCCAGTTACAGCAGCTGCAGATCCAGGTCCAGAATCCTGCGCCGCATCAAGGATTGCTCAGCCCAGGACTGACTTTTTCTGGTGGTAAGTAGCAAATTCTTCCAACCTGATGATTATGGTACTAACTAATTAATTTAATGTTCCAGGCCTGGACCTTGACAGCAGCACCGGTGGCAGTCTTCCAAGTCCGGGAGGTGTTAGCTCCGTTGACAACTCCACCAGCACATCTCCAGCTTGCGGGTTGATGGAGCACGCGCCCAGTCCGTCGGGAGTCAGCGCCACTGTGAGTTCGAGTGGCGAATCCCGGCCTGGTGCTCTGCAACAGAGGGTAGGCATTCCGGGTGGCAGGACATCCTGCCAACTTGAGTGCTTTCTCTCGGTTGGATTTAGCAGATACTAATTGGTTGTTTTCTTCCAGCTTGGTTTGCCGGGTGACTGTCAGCTTGAGTTTGTCAATGGAGGTCATGGGATCAAGAACCCACTGGCTATTGAAGGACAGAGGCAGACCACGCGTGATGAGGAGCGAACCACCAGGCCACCTTCTGGCAAGGTAAGCTTTAGGATAACCTAAATCCTGATCTAGGAATTAGAATTGGAATTGGAGCTTAAAAGGTGATTTGTTTCAGGATGATGATCCTAATAGGTTCTCCTGTAGGATCTGCAGCAAGACCTTCAGCCTCCAGCGGCTTCTAAATCGGCACATGAAGTGCCACAGTGATGTTAAGCGGTACCTTTGCACATTCTGCGGCAAAGGATTCAACGACACCTTTGACCTGAAGCGCCACACGCGCACCCATACTGGTGTCAGGCCTTACAAGTGCAATCTATGCGAAAAGAGCTTCACCCAGCGGTGCTCCTTGGAGAGTCATTGTTTGAAAGTTCATGGGGTTCAACATCAGTACGCTTACAAGGAGAGAAGGACAAAGGTAAGGATTTAACTTACTTATTTAATAGGTGATGATGGTAGTGGTGGTGATGATGATGATGGAAGTGGTGATAATGGTTTATTGGTTTGTAGGTCTATGTATGTGAAGAATGCGGCCACACCACCCAGGAACCGGAAGTCCACTATCTTCATCTCAAGGACAAACATCCGTACAGTCCAGCCCTGCTGAAGTTCTACGACAAAAGACACTTTAAGTTTACCAACAGTAATTTTGCAAATATGCTACTGCAGGTGCGCACCTAGATTTATCATTTGATTAGGACCCTGGGGATCGATTTTAAAGCTCAGTATTTTTCTCTGGTTTATATGGGGGATGATGTAAATATTTAGTGGGTGGTGGGGGTTATTTTTTTTAGGTTTAGAATTTACAATCGTGCACCGGATAGGTTTAAGGGATCATAGTCGAGTCAAGGGTAGTGGGGAGGAAAGATTTTTCAGGGGGGAAGCAGTTTTGGGACCCATAAGACCTAAGAGCTTTAATTGGGATTATAAATAGAATTTTTAGGGATTAAAATCAATTTTTTTTAGATTTAGGGGACCAAAATGGGCCTACAAGACTATAAATTTATTTTTTTGGGACTTATGGGACCTAAATTAGACTTGGGGGCTTAAATAATTGATTTTTTTGGGACCTAAATGTATTTTTTGGGGACTTATAGGGCCTGAAATAGATTATGGGCTTACAGGGCCCTAAATTTTGGGACTTAGGAGGCCTAAAAGTAGACTCCGGGCCTCATAGGCCCCAAATTAATTATTTTAGGACTAATGTGACCTAAATTAAGGTCTACAAAGCTCTAAATTGATTTTTGGGGACCTAAAAGAAACTTTGGGCCCACACAGCCCTAAATTTATTATTTTGGGGCTTATGAGGCCTAAAAAATAGATTTAGGGTACATAAGGCCCTAAATTTTGGGACTTATGGGACCTAAAATAAATTAAGGGCCTACATGACCCTAAATAAATTAATTTTGGGACCTAAAGTAGGCTTAGGGCCAGTAGAACTTAAAATCTTATTATTTAACGCCGAAAAAAATTAATATTACCCCTCTGACTTGTTTAACTAATTCGGTCACAATTATGAGACCCTTTAAAGGAATTGCGCGCGCATTTATTCAAGGGTGACCTGTGATAGGGCAACGGTTATTATTATTTTTATTTTTCGCCTATTATTATTAATAATTTAATAAAAATCTTCAATTAATGTTTTAATTTTTAAAAATTATTTTATTTTCGCAGTGATCAAGAGGAATCATTAATTTAAGATGAGATTATCATTATCATTATTATTAATTTTACATTATTATTATTATTATTATTATTATTATTATTATTATTTTTATTATAATTATGTTAAATATCGCAATTATAATTTCTCCCATGAGTAATTTCTTTTTTATAATTATTATTATTAATATTATTATTAATGTGTTTATAATAAAGTGGGTTCGTGCAATTTATTATCAATAGAGGGTAAAAAAAATCACTAATTAATCACTTATGTATAAATATATATATTTAATGTATTATTAAGTAGATATAATAACGTAAAACGGTGCATAAATAATAAATATATATCTGTAAATAATGACAAAAAAAAAAAGACTGTAAATAATGATAATAATAACTACCGGCACTTTGATACTTAAAAAAAAATTAAAAATAAAAAAAAAATATTTACTTAGGCAATAATAATAATAAAAATACTCATATATGAAAATAGATATTTTTATAAATTAAATATTCAATATTCTACTAGATTTTATTTATAGTTTATTTATTTGTTTACTATTATTGTATTAAGATGAAAGTATATACATATATATATATATATATATAAATATATATACAAAAATGTGAGAAATTATTAATAAATATAAATTGTTTATAACCTTTACCAATGTAATTATACTCACTTTTAATTACACTCCTTGATGATTTAAATTGGATCAATAGTTTAAGAGTTATCACCAAAATTTACTGGATCAAGAAAATATAAATACTATTAATTTTTAGTCTTTATTTATTAATTAATTTATTTATTTTTTAATTCTAAAATTACTTAACTGATTGTTTCAAAATTTTATAAGGATTTAAAGGTTAGTATACTAAGTAGATTCCTTCAAACCAGATCAAAATCGGTTGAAAACTTTGCGAGTTATCGCCAAAAATCACTGAATCAAGAAAATTTACATATTATTAATTTTTAACCTCAATTTTTTTCTTTTTTAAACTTTGAAACTACTTGGCAGATTGTTTTCAAATTTTATTATGGTTAAAAGGTGATAATTCCAAATCAATCGCTCTAAACCAGATTAAAATCGGTTGATAACTTTGCGAGTTATCGCCAAAAATCACTGGATCAAGAAAATTTACATATCAAATTTAAGTTTCTATTTATTTTTTGTTTTTAATTTAACTCTAAAGCTACTTAACCGATTGTTTTGAAATTTTATGAGGATCAAAAGGTTACTATACCAAGTTTATTCCTTCAAACTAGATCAAAATCGGTTAAAAATTTCCCGAGTTATCGCCAAAAATTACTGGATCAAGAAAATTTGCATATTATCAAATATAGACTTCTAATTATTTTTTGTTTTTAATTAAACTCTAAAACTACTAAACCGATTGTTTTCAAATTTTATGAGGATCAAATGGTTATAATTCCAAATCAATTCCGTCAAACCAGATCAAAATCGGTTGATAACTTCCCGAGTTATCGCTAAAAATCACTGGATCAAGAAAATTTACATATCAATAATTTTTAGTCTTTATTTTTTTTTTTAATTTAACTCTTAACCTAATTGACCGATTTTTTTCAAACTTTATGAGGATCAAGAGATTAGCATACCAAGCCGATTACTCCAAATTAGATCAAAATCGGTTCAATAGTTCAAGAGTTATCATCAAAAATCACTGGATCAAGAAAATTTACATACTATTCATTTTCATTCTCTATTTATTTATTTTTTAACTCTGAAACTACTTGACCGATTGCTGTCAAATTTTATGAGGATCAAAAGGTTAGTATACAAAGGATATTCCTTTAAACCAGATCAAAATCGGTTTAAAATTTCCTGAGTTATCGCCAAAAATCACTGGATCAAGAAAATTTACATATTATCTCATTTAAGCTTCTATTTATCATTTGTTTCCAATTTAACTCTAAAACTGCTTAACCGATTGTTTTCAAATTTTATGAGGATCAAATAGATATGATTCCAAATCAATTCCTTCAAACCAGATCAAAATCGGTTGATAACTTCCCGAGTTATCGCCATAAATCATTGGATCAAGAAAATTTACAAACAATACGGCTAAACAGCAGAAGCTTAAGGAACCTTTATTTTATTTTTAGACCTTTGGTCAAGGTACCACTCGAATCAGAGGAACTCGGGGGTATCAGAGGGTTAATACTGGTGGTGATTTATTTATTTTGAGGAGGAAGTTCAAAGAGACTGGCTAACTAGACGACCAAGTCACGCAATATGAATAATAAACGAGCTTGTGGTGTTACTTCACTAGTGATGATACTTTTAAGGGGGGACACCACTGTGACGATCGAAAAAAAGAGGTGATTTTCGGGAATTTTTTTGACAGGGAAAATGAAGGAATTTGGGGATCGGATTTTTTTTATTTTATTAAGGGTACATTAAAGATGATTACGCTAAATTTTTATTAAAAAATATTTAATTATTACAAAGTTATTAACAATCTCGTAGAGCACTAGAAAAAATTTTCCCCTCCATGGTCGGTTCGATAACTCAAAAACAGATACTCTGAAAATAAAAACCCAAATTACTTTTTAATCAGTAAGGATGTAGTTATCGTCGCACGTACGGAATTTTGAAAATTTCAATTTAAAAAAAAAATGGCGACTGATTGAAAATTTTCTCACCATTCTTACTGTTTTTTTTTTGTTTTAACCCGGCTAAAAAAATCTTTAAAATAAAAATTTTTTAAATTCCGTACGTGCGACGATAACTACATCCTTACTGATTAAAAAGCAATTTAGGTTTTTATTTTCAGATGATCTGTTTTTGAGTTTTCGAACCGGCCATGGAGGGGGAAATTTTTTCAAGTGCTTTACGATATTGTTAATAAATTTGTAATAATTGAATATTTTTCAATAAAAATTTAGGGTAATAATTTTTATTGTACCCTTAATAAAATAAAAAAAATCCGATTCCCAAATTCCTTTATTCTCCCTGTCAAAAAAATTCCTGAAAATCACCTCTTTTTTTCGATTGTCACAGTGGTGTTCCCCCTTAAATAAAAGTTTTAGATCTATTATTTTAAAAAAAATGTCATCGCCAATTGAGGACCCTAAGTGCTTTGTAAAGAGGGCATTCACCCTGCTTAAGTATAAAAGCAATGTTTAAAAAAATAATTTAAAAATATATATTATTATTATTTATATTTGTGATTATTCTGCAGAATTACCGGACCCTTTGAATACAAATCGAAGAATATATTATTGACAATTGGGATTAATATTTTTAAAATAATAAATTTTATTGTCCAATCTGGAATTATTGCCACTACTGTTTATGATACTATATCTAATTTTACATTAGTTATTTTATCAGAAAATATCTGTTATATTTTTCCAATGTCAGTTATACTGACTAAAATGATATTTGCTTTTTTTAATGAAAATAAAATACGAAAAATTGTTGAAGAAATTTACAAGCCAATTATGATTTTAAAGCAATCATCAGGTATGTGATATCTCTATAAAAAAAAATCCATATCATAATTAATAAATGACCTTGTATTTTTTGAACTATTGACATTTTTAAAGATATAAGCTCATCCTGATGTTACACTCATCGAGACCTTTCATTTGAGTACCCACATCAATTTTATATATATTTTATATATTTATATATATATTATATATATATGAATATATGAAAAATATATAAAAAATGCATGTGGGTACTCAAATGAAAGCTCTTGATAAGTGTAACATAAAAATGAGCTTATATCTTTAAAATTGTCAATATTTAAGAAAATACAGTGTAATTTAACAAAAAATTAATTATTTAATTTACGGCAGATGTTGGTGTATTGACAATAATCCAAACAGCAATGTCATACCAATTTTTCGACAGTGCAATTTATATATTCTTATGCATAAGCATAAGCGGGACGACCTTTTTGTTAGTGGACATAGAGCGCTACGAATTGCCAATTCGTGGAGTGTTTCTAATTAATGCAACAGTTTCGCCAAATTACCAGGTGATCTTTGCAATTGAAACCTACGCGATAATAATAAATTGCTGGTGGCTCTACAGCTTAGACACAGTCCTGTTAGGTCTTGTAAGGTGGATAACAATCGACCTGAAGATACTCCAGCTGAATTACCGGCAGTGTCAATTTTTCTACGAGCCACGCGGTACCTTAATGGTCACCCAAGAAGGATTCAACGCTGTTAAAAACTACAGCTTCATTGAAAAGCTGAAAAACGAGGACGAGATCTACAACTTCGTTCCCTTTGATGAGAAACAGGTTAATGTCAAAGTGGATTCCTTCTTAAAGAGATTCACTAGTTGTCTTCGCCACCAGCAGCAGGTCATTAAAAATATCAAAGATGTCAACAATCTGTTCAGCGTGGTATTTGCTATCCAGACAATCTCCAATTGCACCCTCACTTGCATGGGCCTATTTGGATTGGTTGCAGTAAGGACCAATTATATTAGTATCACCAATTATTAAGGTTAATTGATTTTTTTTGTCCCACTAGAGCATCAAGAAGCACACCAACCCGGCTAACGATATTGTTATGCTTCAAATTGGATTTTTGAACCTTCTTTACTGGTCTTTCTTCGGTCACATGCTGATAATCCAGGTAAGTCCACTGATAGAAAGATTTATTTAACAAATATTTATTAAAAGTTGATAAATTATTTATTAAATACAATTTATTAAATGAAAATAAATGTTTATTAACAGTTAACAAAAAAAAAAAAAAAAAAAATAAATAAATAAAATTACACTTCCCGGGATTCGAACCCGGGACTTTAATTTGGAAGTTTCGGACATCTGTAATATTAAAAAATTTTAAAATAAATAATATTTTTATTTTTTTTAATGTCTTCTACAGTGATAGAAGGATTTGGTTATATTTAATAAGCTTTATTAACTGTTAATAAATAATTTTTTAATATTATTTTGTTTTTAAAAAGTGTCTTTAATCATCATTGGGATTCTTTTAGCACGACTGTTTGATGGACAGTATCTACGAGTGCGGGTGGGAGGAACATGTCTACAACAAAGACTTTAGACAGGTACTGATAATCACCATTATACAAGGAATGAGACCGATGGTGATAAAAGCCGGACATTTCTTTGATCTGTCAATGAAAACCTATTTGGCGGTGAGTTTTTAATTTTTTTTAAACAGATTTTATTGGATAATTTTTACGGTCGTTTTGTTACAGGTTATCAACAAATCATACTCGTTTTTTGCAATTCTAAACACTGTCACTACTGAAGAAGATTTTCAATAATTTAATTTTGTTCGCAAATTAAGTATAATTATCTATTTTTGTTCATCCTAGGTGGTTCTTTAATAATAGTCAATAAAAATTAATAGTTTATTTGAAATTTTTGATTTATAAAGTTGGTTTGAAATTTTATGAATATTTTTACTAGGGGGGCGTGGTTACGGTTGCTAATGGGCGTCACTATGGTTACCAGGTTGCTAAGGGGCGTTACTAAAATTAACAGGGTTGTTAAGGGGCGTCGCTAGACGTAAAATGTCAAAATAGGAGGGAGATTGACGTGATATATAAAGACAATTGTTACTAGGGAGGGGGGGGGCGTGGTTATGGTTGCTAAAGGGCGTTACTAAAATTACCAAGTCACTAAGGGGCGTTACTGGATGAAAAATATTGAAAAGGAGGGATTGACAGCATGCTTTAAACAATTTTTATTAGGGGCGTGGTGATAGTTGCTAAGGGGGGCGTTACTAAAATTGTCTGAGTTACTAAGGGGCGTCACTATAATTACTAGGTTGCTAAGGGGCATTGCTAAATAAATATTGTGAAAAACGAGGGAAATTGACATTATAAGTCAAACAATTGTTACTAGGGGCGTGGTTAAGGTTGCTAAGGAGGGCGTTACTATGATTACCATGGTTGCTAAGGGGCGTGGCTAGACCAAGAATGTCAAAACGGAGGAGGGATTGACGTCACACTTCAAAAAAAGGAGTAATTTTTGATACCAGAAACGATATATTATAACTTTTCTATCAATTTATGTACTTATTAAAATAAATTCTTTATAACCGTCACCTTTCTACTAATTTATCAACAAACAAAGGTAAAATTTAGACTTATGGATAGTCTAAAGGAGGCGTGGTCCGGAATCTGACCAGTAAGTTTGGTTCCAAGGCCGTGCTGAGGGAGGAAGACATTTGGAGGCAAGTAAACCCATTTTGGTCAGAGCCTATAGTGGACCAGGGTTCGGCAATCATTGATGAAGTTCCGGGGTTAGGGTTTCTGTAAATTCGTGCAGTTGCATGATTAAACGAAAGAGAAAGTAAATCCAAACTTACCCAGTTTTAGCAAAAGCAGTCCAGAATTCAATGAATCTCCGTTGAATGGTCCACTCCACAGTTCCCTTTTGCGGTGGTTCGATTCCTATTTTCTCGTAGGCCTTCATGTTGAAAAGATAGCCGACATCCTCGCAGTGAGATGCACCTGATCGAAGAATCATTAGCTTCCATCATTAAAACTAACTCCAGCAACTTACCTTTCAAATTGGTTCTCATGATCTTTTGGATCATCGCCGTGTCCTCTGAGAAGTGTCCAAACTTTAAGTAGTAGCAAGGAACATCATTAACCTGCTGGATCTCCAGAATATGTTGAATATCAGCTAAAAAATGAATGAAGCTCATCAGCTGGATAACATTCTCAATGTTCTTCCGTGAAATCTCCATGTCATTCATAAAGAACTTCCTAACAACATCCAGAGGTATATTCTGCTGCTCCAAGAACCTAGCAGTTGATGGATGGAACACCAGGTTCTGGTCTTGATTCATCAACGACAGGTGCTCGTCATTCAAAACTAAGAATCATTAGATCAAAATCAAGATTGTCATTAACTAAGACCCATTAACTTACTAGCTAGCTGCATGACAGCTTCGTGGGTGGTCGAGCCTAGGATGCAAGGAACGCTGATCCCCTTTTTGATAGCTTCTTCAACAGGGATCTTTAGAAAGGAATTTTTGGCACAAGAATCCACCGAAGGGCCAAATGTGTTGACGCTGATATTCCAGGTGGAGAAAGAAGCCTCTGCTTCTAGAAGATCTCTGATTTTTACTGTCTTCAGGAAGTTAAGCACCTGGACCAGATCTTTGGACTCAAATCCTAAAGTCCCAGCGATTTTAACCGCTGATTCTTTCATAGAATCTATAGAAACACTGGCCCAGGGGTTGCTAGCCACTCCACTCTGGAGTATCGCTTTGTGAAACAGTCCCTCAGCTAGGGGTGATAGCGCCAGGTAATGAACTGCTGCGCCACCTGCGCTGTATCCATAGATAGTGACGTTCGTAGGATCACCACCGAAATTAGAGATGTTTCTGGCTACCCACTTTAGAGCTAGCACCTGGTCTTTGAGTCCTTGATTCCCGGGTGCTGATTCGTCTTCTAGATTAAGAAACCCTGCAAAACACCAATTTAATCCTCATATGAAATTAATTCGACGAATTAGTTCAAAGAATTAATTTAAAGATTTAATTTCAAGAATTAATTCAAAGAATCAATTTGAAGAATTAATTCAAAAAATTAAGTCTTTGAAGAATTACTTCAAAGAGTTAATTCAAAGAATTAATTTGAAGAATTAATTCCAAGAATTAATTCAAAGAATTAATTTGAAGAATTACTTCAAAGAGTTACTACAAAGAATTAATTTGAAGATTTAATTTCAAGAATTAATTCAAAGAATCAATTCAAAGAGTTAATTCAAAGAATTAATTTGAAGAATTACTTCAAAGAGTTAATTCAACGAATTAATTCCAAGAATAAACTCAAAGAATTAATTTGAAGAATTACTTCAAAGAGTTAATTCAAAGTATTAATTTGAAGAATTAATTCCAAGAATTAATTCAAAGAATTAATTTGAAGAGTTAATTCAAAGAATTAATTTGAAGAATTAATTCAAAGAATTAATTTGAAGAATTAATTCAAAGAATTAATTTGAAGAATTACTTCAAAGAATTAGTTCAAAGAATTAATTTGAAGAATTAATTGAATGAATTAATTTAAAGAATTAATTCAAAAAATGAATTTGAAAAATCAATTAAAAGTACTTACCCAGTATTCCAACGCGGTAGTTTATCGTCACAACAATTAATTCCTCAACCAGAAAATCAGGACCCAGGATGTCGTCGTCTCCGGAACCGAAGGAGAAGTTTCCACCGTGGATTGTAAAAATGACAGGCTTTCTGCCGGTCAAATCCCTGGTATAGACGTTCAAATACAAGCAGTCATCATCACCACTGCTTGTCTTACTGAACCAGTTTATCTGTCCACATTTTCTGGAATGACGACTAGCATTGAAGATTCCAGACCAAGATTTAACCGGCTGAGAATCTTGGAACCTCCGTTGTCCAACAGGCGGCTCAGCATAAGGAATTCCCTTGAAAGCAAGGAACTTAACACCATCACAGCTGATTTCTTCAACTCCTCGAATTAATCCTTCTTGGATCTTGACAATTGGATGCTCCATCTTAAACTGAGCTGTTTGTTACTTCCATTTACGAGGTGTTGAGTTAAATAAAAATGAGTCCGTAGGTTGCTAAGTGGTCGAACAGATCAAGGCGACGGCAATAAACATCTTAGAACATTAAATACCCATTTATTTAAAACACTAGGTTAAAAAGAGCACAATATTTATTACCATCAAGTAATTGTAGCCTTAATAATCTGAAAAGGAGCTCCAATGACAAGCTGGTGATTTTCTTACTCATTTTTTTAAGCACTTTCACTAGACTATTCTTTAGTTTTAAAATAAAAACCCTCTTATTTTTTTCCACCTCCCTTTAATCAATAATAAAAAAAAAAAAAAAAAAATTGCTTTGATGACAAAAGCCAGGCGTCAGAAAAAAAAAAAGGAGCTTTATTTTTATCGTAACATCAAAAGGAATTATTTTTTAAAACTTCTGACCGATCGATGACAAGTACGTAAGTTATGAATTATTTAAAGCTTTTTGTTAAATAAAATTTATTACCAATTCTAGAAGACAATAGTCAAATAGTTGTTCTTGGTATCAGAAGTAAAAATGGTTTTGACAACGCATCGTAGTACTCTTAATATTAATTTAAAGCTCGCTAAGTAAGATAATTTTATCAAAATTCTCGAGTTATAACAAATTTAAATTGTAAATTAAACGTTAAAATACAAAGATGTATTGTAATTTTACAATCTTATTGTATAACACGCATTGTAATATTATACAGAATTTTTCGTAAATTTTTAAGAAAGCTTTATTAATTTTCGCAAACATTATTTGTGATCTGATTCGGCATAATTGTATAAAAAAATCACAAAAAAAAGTATTACAATAATCTGATAAAAAATTAAAAAAGCCTTTTTTTTATTTTTACAATTTTTTCATTGTAATATTACACAGTGTAATGTAATGTTACCAGACAATTTTAATTATATAACACGAATTGTAATTCTACTTGACTGTTTTCCAATTTTAAAAAACAATAATTTTAAATTTTACAAAAATGAAACTGATGTATCGAAAAAAATGTCCTTGATATTTATTTTTACTAATTTGTTAGTCGATGGTCGGTTTATTTGTAATAATAAATTCAAGGCATCATTTATCTTTTATAAATTTTAATACTACGCTCAAATGATCATTTCGAAATTGTTAAGAGTGCAAGATTTTCTTGTTCAGTAATTTAATTATTTAAGTCTTTATTATATTTCATATTTATATTTGCCGCTCAAGCGACACCTAGCGTATTTGTACTGAAACTGCGTCGGTCTACACGCAGCCTAACTGCGCATACGACTCACTCTCCGGCTTGCTCGCTGCGGCTTACACATCGTGTTACTTGGTCGCTTGACTAATCTTGTGCTACTACGTATAGTTACGACACAAGTACTTTTCTTATTGCTAACTTTATAATACGCATATTTTTGATATCTAAGATTGTTAAGAAGTGATTTTATATTTAATAGATGATTAAATAAATGTAGATTCAGTTTATATTAAACCTTGTGTTTCACTTTTTATTAATAAACCCGACAGAAATCAATATATTTTAATGAGTATATGTTAGACTTTAATTTTTTGTAATATTCAATGAATTATAAATAATGTAAAAGTTAGTTATTATGTCTACGTGAGAAGCAAAATCTAGTGAGCGCTTTATAAAAATAAAATGACAACAAATATTAAATCAAATGTATCTTTTTTATTATTTAAATTCAAGGAAAGTATTGTAATTTTACAAACTTAGCTAATCTTAAAATATTTTTAAAATTACAATACCATTTTGTAAAATTTTCTCATGATTTTCTCATGTTTTGGCTACATGACAAATCATGTTGCTGCAACATGATTTTCTCATGTCACCTTAACATGATTGTCATGTAGCCGAAACATGACAAATCATGTTACTGCCACATGATTTTTTCATGTTGTAGCCACATGATTTGTCATGTTTCGGCTACATGGCAAATCATGTTGCTGCCACATGATTTGTTCATGTTGTAGCCACATAATTTGTCATGTTTCAGCTACATGACAAATTATGTTGCTGCAACATGATTTTCTCATGTTATCTTAACATGAGTGTCACGTAGCCAAAACATGACAAATCATGTTGCTACGACACGATTTCATCATGTTCGTTAACTATTTATTTTTTTTCGTGTATTTTTATCGAATAGATGGTAGAATTTAAACAAAATAACTGAAATTTTGTCTAACAGAAAAAAAAAACTATTTTTTATCGTACTTTTGTTTAAAAGCATCTAGTTATCTAAATAATTTTGATATTACTTATTTAAACTCGTTATCAACTTTTAAACTTTTAATACGCTAAATCAACAATTTTAACGTTCAATACCTTGAATCTACGATTTAAAATTTTAATTGAGGATACCTTTTATATATTAATAAAAATTATATTTACAGAATATTCGGGTTATTTGGATACTATGATCTACCGCTTAAACAGTACCTAGCAGTTATCACCTTTCGTACGATCAACATAATAATCTCAACCCTGGTGATAGCGACCAATACTGCAGATTTTTTCGTCAACATAAGCAATCTAAGTGAGGTGTCTTATAACATCGGTTACATACTCCCGATGACTGCAACAAGTTTGAAAGCTTTGACATTTTTTCTGCGGCAAAAAGCCGTGGGTAAAATCATCGAAGACGTTCACGGGCCAGTTACTAAATTGATATCCTGTTCAGACATTGGAGTAGTTAATTTGATAAAAAAATCAGTATTCTGGCAGAATGTTGACTTTGGAATATTCATATTCGCAACTTGTTGTGTCTGCGTGACAGGTTTGCTACCAATAAGGCAAATTTTGAACAGCCGGCAGCTGATGATTCGCGCGGTTTTTCCTTTTGACGAGAAGCAATATCCAATTTTTGAGATCATTTATGCGCTTCAGTATTATGGATTAATGGTAGAGTGCGCTTGGTGCGTAATATTTGACCCAGCTGTGATGGGTCTTGCTAGATGGATAACTTTTCAAATGGACGTTTTGGGGTCTAATTATGAGCACTGCGATGACGGAATTCTACGTGCTACTTTTGTTAAAATTGGAGATCTTGATAATGAACGTGAACGACAAAGCGACAAAAAAGCAAAAATTAAAGCGTTTATTCCGTTTTCTGATGATGAGACCAATGTTACCAATGATTCATTTCTTTTAAGATTTTGCGATTGCGTTAAAAATCATCGTCGGCTAATTGAATCTCTGGATAATTTTAATGAATTATTTGGGCTGATACTTTTTGCTCAAATTGCCTCTGACTGTCTTTTAACTTGCATTGGACTCTTCCAATTTTCCTTGGTAATTTTTAATCAGCTGATTAGAAGAATTTTTTTTTTTTTAACTATTAATAATTTAATAAATATTTATTTTTTATCTCTAGATAAATAAATTAAAAAATTACCTAGTATCTTGTGAAATATTGATACTTTTTTTAAAGATATAAGCTCATTTTGATGTTATACTTTCATATATTTTATTTATTTATATATATTATATATGAAAAATATATCAAAAATGCGAGTTTTATCCCTCCGAGTTTTGATTATTTTTAAGGTTACTGTTTCAGACAATTAAACGCAAGAGAAAAAATAACATCTTCCGTGACATGGTGATGCTTGGGTCAGGGCTTATCCACTTGGGCTACTGGTCTGTTTACGGTAATCTGCTGATCAATGAGGTAACAATCCTCCTGTGTATCCTGATGATCCGCTGATGAGCTTGCTATCACCTGATTTGAAATTTTGGTATTTTAGCATGAAAGACTCTCTAAAACTGTCTATGCTTGCGGGTGGGAGAACCATAATGGCCGCAAAATAAAGCCAGTTGTTGTATTTGGGCTTTATCAAACACTTACTCCCATGGTAATGAAAGCTGGGTACTTTTTTGTTTTTGGAATGGAAACTTATCTGTCGGTAAGTTATCTATTTTTTTTTATTTTTTTTTCTCTCTCTTAATTACCCTCCTAGTGTATATAAAGAGTAGCGTTAATAAATTAATTATTATTATTTATTTTCAGGTGATCCAAAAAGCTTACTCTTACTTTGCAATTCTCAATACCATGATGACAAATTAGAATTTTATTGTACACCTTTAAAATACTACTCATTAATATTTATTTATAAATTATCGTCTGTTAATTTTACACCTCTATTATATTAATTTATATGATATACTAATATGATTAACCCAGCAGAAAAAATTCTTACGATAATTTACAATAAAATTATTATCGTAATGCTGGACTATACTTATACTTGAACACATCTTGTATAATTAGCTCTATAGTATTGGACTTTTTAAGTCTGTTGGTAGTCTTATTTGCTGAAAATTTACAATAGTAGATCGTTAAAATTATTATAATTACAAGAAATAGTCCACCGTTACTAATTGTGGAAAATAAAAAGGCTTCTTACTAAATTCGCTGTATCTCGGTAAATATCCAAGCTAGCGAAAAGTAACTTAGTAGTTTTTTGTAGGTCTTGAGTAGAGCTACAAAAAAATCTTTGGAAGTTTTTTGATAGGACCTATAGTTTAGCCTACTAAGGCGTCCCATTAAAAGGACTCATCAGCCAGAGGATTCTATTTTGTTTAGTAATTACGATAGTTAAATAATTCCTTTAAATGTTAAAAAAATTGCACGTAGAAAAACACCTAAAGGCTTAACAAAAAAAAATAATCAACATTTTGTTTCTAAATTTTATTATTATATCAATTTATTAATTAACGTAACAATTGTACTATAAAATTATTTATTTATCATCTTCATAAGCTTGAATCTGAAATAAAAAAACTATAGCAATAATTATGATTAAATAATCTTAAATAAATACCCATAAAAATAACTTACTTGATTATCAATGGCGTCAAATTGCCATTTCCAAGTGTGATTGTACAAAAATTGCCTGTGATCATACCGATTGTCATCAGGTGAGTAGCATTCAATGTGGCAAGATGGCGTGAGGATTGTCATTTTGTGACGATTTATCGCGTAGCAGCGATAAAAGTGTTTGACCTTTAAATTAAAACAACCTAGCTGTAAAATCTTGACCTATAAAACCAGGATAAGCTTATGCTTACCTTATCAGCGACTTCCCTGGTGGAGCAGTGGCTCCAAAGAGGCACCAGCTTGCAAAACATAGAGAAAGGTCCAGCACACTGGACCTTCCTGAGTCTTCCATAAGTCGAAAGTTCCTGATAAGTCATCCCCATATCAACCTCATCCAGCTGAGCCAATTGTCCATCGACCAGCGGTTCTAATTCCGCGGTAGCCGGAGCTTGGATGATCTTCCCCAATGACGGAAGATTGAACTTGTAGCCAAAGAATGTGATGAACTTCTTGAGATCGTGCTTAGAGATCCCGCCAATTGGGTTTATATCAGCGCTGCTGCAGTCGTACTTGGTGAAGTATCCACGAAGAGACTCATCAACGTTGCTGGAGCCAAGAACTAGGAGTCCTCCAGGTCTTCCACGGACCCAGAGCATCAGCTGAGCCAGCAGGTAAGAGATTACCATTCTCAACCTCGCTTGGACGTTTTGCAAAGCGAGGTTTTCTCTGGGCGAACCACCGTGGGTACGGAATCTGGGTGTTAGGTTCGAAACCTGCTGGAAGATTCCAAGGACTGCCGATACTGCGGTGTCGATGATGATGCTGTGGTGGTAGGACCCGATTTCGGATGCTAATTCGCTCGCTCGGGCTTTGGTCTCAGAACTGGAATTCTCCGTTGCCATGTAGCAGGTCACTAGCAAGGTGTTGCACAGTTGCTTTGGGTCCTTGGGGATGTAGGTGAAGTCTCCGACGATTTTTTGGACGTCTGCTAGGACCTGGTTGTCTGGAAACGTTGCAGGTCAAAGAATCAGCAAGCTGATTAATCAGGTAGGATAATCAGGCTGATTAATCAGCCAGGATAATCAGGCTGATTAATTAGCACAACTTACCTCCATCCTTGACAGCATCAACGATCATGTTGCACATAGAGAAAACCAAACATGCAGTTGATGACGAATCAACTCCTCCACTTAGCGGCAAGAAAAAGCCACCCTGACAAGAACGCCTGAGGTAGTCCCACATCCAGCAAGCAGGTGCCATAGAAATCTCCTCTTCAGGAGTATGAAACTCTCCTACTTCCTTCCTATCCAAGTTATCAGCATCCATCATATCATTGGTAAGCTTAAAGGGCCCGTTGTCGCACACCGAAAACTCAACCTTGACCCTTGGATATGGACTGCTCCTAGCAGCAGAGTGAGTTCTGGATCTGATATTGTTCCGGTAGGTCCTGGAAGAATATCATTGTAATACTATTAACCAGAATATTATCAACCTACTAACCTGACATCCTCCAGATCAATTGTAGCAACAGTGACCTCGACCTCCGCCAACGAAAACTGCTTTCCTGCTGTGACAATCTCACCGTTCAAAGAAACTGAGCTGGACCCGTTGAAGAACATCCTTCCACCATCGCAGCCACGCAAATTGCTGTACATATAAATACCTCCTGCTTTGGCAGTGGCAGACTTAACGCGATCTGTGATCATGTGGGCCTTGCGAATTACAAAGACACTTCCACTTGAATTGGAGATTATCTCAACTCCGTCCAACGACATGTTGATGTGGTTAGAAGCTGGGTGCCACAATTCCTCGCAAATTTCAAACCCGATACAAGTGTCTCTGGTTAAGATAACAGCGTCGCCAATTGGAACCACAGTTTGTCCTGTCACCTGGGTGATGATCCTCGGTAGGAAGAAATCTTCAACAGTTCGTTCCTAAAAATCATCAACCAGCTCAGATTCATTCTAGAAGACTCACCTAGGATTTTAGAACATACCTTGGTCCAGGGAGAGAACCACCTGCTTTCCCGGTACATGATAGTGTCACACATCTGCATCTTGGGACGGATTAGCAAAATTCTAGAATTTAGGAAGGCGACGCGGCAATTGTAAGTGACGTTCTTGTGCATCACCGGCATTCCAACGTCAATAATCATGTCCTGGCAGACACTGGAGGCTAGGAGAGTAGCTAAAACCTGCCAGCTGTGCAACCTGGTGTCGCTTTCGAAGAAGTGGTCTTCACAATTGTACCCCCTGGAATCATCAAGTAGGTTAGTTTAAATTGTCAATCTACTATTAAGATTCCTACTTACGATATTTCTAATTCAGGCCCGCTGCGGAATTTTGCGCCAGCTGCCTTAGCCTGGCTGATGCTCTCCAGGATCCTCCTGAGGTTCCCGTCAAAGTCCATCGCCCATTGGTTCAGGGTGCTCACCGCCACAGTCACAATTCGCCCCATCTGGAACCAACAAAAGACTGTCAAAGGACTCTAAAAGAAGTTGCTAGGGAGCGGGAGTGGGAGTAGGAGGACTGATTGATCAATACGGTGAGTTAGTCTACATGGATCTGGCTAGCAGCCCAATCAAGGAATTGCAAGCTGCACTCTTTCCAGTTCAGCCTATTCCAGGTGAGTGATAATCATCAACCAGAAATGATTAACCAGAATGCTACTGATGATATTTATCTGTTCCAGGTGGGCTGACCACCCAAATTCTCCAGGACAGGTTTGGGGTGATCAAACGGGACCTGGACACTCTTCCGGTAACCACGGGGCTGGTAAAGTTCCGGGAGCTAGACGTCCAATTGACGGATGTGGTCGCCCAGGAACCAAGGTGGCCAACAGAGTGCAAGGTTTGCTAGATTATAATTCTAACTTAGATTCTACATTCTGGCTGATATTCCTTTTTAAATTCTAGGTTTTAGCAGAGCGGGTCCGTCATATTGACTACACCCCATCAATCCCGGAGCCTTACTACTCCCCAACGGGAAGAGAACCCAAGCCTAAGCCGGTTAATGATGAATTTGGAAGCCTGGTGTTCAACTACTGCCCGATGAGCGCTACTAACTACGTGAGTATTGGTTAATTTTTGGTAGATCACAATTCAGTGATTGACCGACAATTCAGTTCACCAGGTCCTGCATCGGAGGGACGGCTATAGACTCACTGTCCTGCGTGGTCCTGGATGATGATCTTCAATTCGAGTCCAGGTTCGAGTCAGGAAATCTTGGAAAGGTCATCAAGATAACAGACACCTACTACCAATTGTACCTGAGGAAAGATCTGTATACTCAGAGACACATGCAGTGGTTCTACTTCAGGATTTCTAATACTAGGAGCAGAATTATCTACAGGTTGTCGATAGTCAATCTTTGCAAGGAGGACAGCTTGTATAATGAAGGACTCAAGCCGTTGCTGTACTCTCTGAAGGACGCTAGTCTTCATGCAGTTGGTTGGAGGCGCTGCGGAGAGAACATCAGCTACTACAAAAATGATTCTTCGTAAGTATGGTGGCTGATCAGGAAGACTGATCAGGATGACTAATTAGGAAGACTGATTAATAAAACTGATTAAGAAAACTGATCAGGAAGACTGATTAAGAAGACTGATCAGGAAGACTGATTAAGAAGACTGCGACTGATTTTGTCTTTTCCAGGGATGAAGAGCGAGAAAAGCACACCCTGACCTTCAACATAACCTTTCCACATGACCAGGACACTGTCTACCTAGCACACTGCTACCCTTACACTTATTCCGACCTCCAAGAGTACTTATCCAAGTTGTCCAGCGACCCGGTCAAGGTAAAGTTCACCAAACTGAGGCTGCTCTGCCGAACTCTGGCAGGGAACAGTGTCCACTACTTGACCATCACTGCTCCAGTCAACGAAGAGGGGAAAAAGAAGAAGGGGATTGTCATCACTGCTAGGGTTCATCCTGGAGAGACTCCCTCCAGCTGGATGATGAAGGGGATCATCGATTTCCTTACTGGCGAGTCTAACCAAGCTAGAGTGAGTCTTCCAAACTAGATACTTGATCCAACCTAATGATTTTTCTTTCAGGAGCTAAGAGAGCGGTTTATCTTCAAGCTGGTTCCAATGCTGAACCCAGATGGCGTCATCGTAGGAAACAACCGGTGCTCATTGAGCGGCAAAGATCTAAACCGGCAGTACCGAACAGTGATGCGAGAAAGTTACCCCAGTGTCTGGCACACCAAGCTGATGATCCGCCGGCTGATGGAGGAATGCGGAATTGCCATGTACTGCGACCTTCATGCCCACTCTCGGAAGCACAATATCTTTATCTACGGCTGCGAGAGCAAGAGGGCTTGCTATGGCAAGCTAGCAGAGCAGATTTTCCCGCTAATGCTTCATAAAAACGCAGCGGATAAGTTTTCTTTTGAAAACTGCAAGTTTTACATTGAGAAAGGCAAAGAAGGAACCAGCCGAGTTGTGGTATGGCTGATGGGCGTTCAAAATAGCTACACCATGGAAGCTTCTATGGCTGGATCCAAGCTGGGTTCCCGATCAGGAACACACTTTTCTGCTCAAGACTATCAACAAATTGGCAAGGCTTTCTGCGAGACTCTAATAGACTTTTCTGATGATGATCCTGTCAAGGTAGCCTTTAATCTCTTCTTTCTATCTTCAAGAGCTAACAAGTGGTTCTTTTAGGAGAAGCTGAGGAACAAGATCCTCCTGAGGCTGATAAAGGAAGGCTCCAGCGCGGATGAGCCAACCAACATCAACCTGACCGATTATTCCAGTGATGAAGGCGACTCTTCTGACTCTTCTGAGGACAAGATCATCAACAAGCTTAATCCTGTGGAAAGCGAGGAGCTTGATGATGATCCTGGATTTCTGAACGTCCCGCCACCTTCTCCTCAGATGACAAAGGCTCAGACGCTCCACAAGCTCAGGAGGAGCAGGACCAAGGCCCAGCTGAGGGAGACTTACCGAATTAAACGGAAGCTCATGGTAAGTTCTTAGAATTCTTTAGCTTCTTCCAGGTTATTGTTTGGTGGGTGTCCTTAAATTAGAGCCGTCAAGCTTTGGACCTACCCTCGACTGACCCTGGCAGCGACATGTGCTGCGAGGAGGAGCTGGACAACTACTCCAAGCCTCTTGATGAGGAGATCAAGATCAGGAGTCCAAGGACCAGGTCAATGAGGCTGCCGGTCATGAGGAACGACATCCAGGTGAAGCTCAGTGAACTCAGGCAGCAGATCTGGACTACCAGGGTGCTCCACCAGGTTGAGGGGAATCTTCTGAACACGGAACTGGTCCAGCTGGCCATGGTCAGCAATGAGAGCGAGGCCGTGCTTAAGTAAGTAACCTGAACTAGCTTCTAGGTCATATTCAAGGTCTAGGGTCATATTTAAGGTTTGGTGGGCGGTTGGTTTCAGGTTGTGCTCCAAGAAGCTCAAGTCCCTGGAGCAGGAGGCTAGAATGGAGACCAGGAAGCCCAAGAAGAAGGCTAAAGAGGCACTGGAGAAGCGCAACAAGGTCAAAAAAAGGACTGAGGAGAACCTCCAGCCCAGGGTTAATGGTCTGGAGGCGTTAAAGTTATTTGGAGTTGGAAAACTGCCTAAGAGCTCTTCTGGGGGCAGTAGTAAGAATTCGCAGGAGCAGAGGAGGAAGTTTAGGAAATCGGGGATTGTTGCTGGAGCTGCGGTTCATGTTGCCAAGGGCAAAGTCAATCTTGCGCCTGCTAAGAACTCCAGTTCTAGTTCTGATGAAGTTCAGGGGGGAGATGCTCCTCCAGGTTCTAGAGGGAAAGGTTCCAGTAGAAAAGGTCAGAGGTTAAAGCTTCATTTTAGTGCTAATCTTTTGATAAGCAGGGACAAAAGTGGGAAATGATGGATTATATTACTGCTGTCAGGATAATTTTTTTTTTTTTCAAGGTCAAGGGAAGTTTTTAGGTTATTCTACAAGGAAAGAACAAAATGACACTGGATGTCATCCTAGATTATACTCAATGATATCTATGGTGAAAATTTCAAATAGTAGTTAAAAAAATCCAGATTATACTAAGTAATATCTGGATTATAGCCATGTAATCTTAATTATACTAACTGAAATTTTTTTTACTTAATAGTATAATCTGGGATGATATCCAGTGTCATCTTGTTATTTCCGTATATGCTCTGTTATTTTTTTTAATATTGACTTTTTAGTGGGAAATTTTTATTTAAAAAAAAAAATAATTTGAAAATTTTATAAAATAAATTTTGAAAAAAAAAATTTTCCTGATAGTATTATTAGTGAGATTTTTGTAAGTTTTATTAGTAAATATTTGTTAATAATTATTATATTCACTGCCTGTTATTATTAAATAAATTTATTAATAGAAAAAAACAAAATATTTTTTTCTTACCTTAATTTGTTATTATACCTCTTATATTATTATTATTATTATTTTAATCCTTTAAATTATCTGCAAAAATAAATAATAATTATAATAAAAATAATATTAAAAATTATATAATTATAATAATAAATATTACCTGATAATTCATCAAACACTTTGGAAAATTATTATAAGGTACCTAAAATATTTATTAAAAATTTTTAGTAATATTGAAAAATTTTTTAAGTAAAAAGATAAAATTGTAAACAAATTTTTAAGGTTAAAAAAATATATATTAGTGTTCGAAAAAAAATAAGCTTACCAAATTAGTTTCTTAAGATTATTTTATAAAAAAAAAAAATTAATGTTATTATTATTATTTTTAGAAAAATACTAACTAGAAAAATAATGTTATGATCGCAATAAGATAACAAAATATATACCGGCGATGGGAGAAACACAAAAAAAAAATAATAAACAAAAAAACATCAAGCTGCTGCCATCTACCGGATTTTTTTATGAGATACTTGCAAAATTGTCGTAAGGAGGTAGCGCCATCTATATAACTAGAGTAATTCCTAGTGAGTGTACTGATGATAAGTGGGAGAAAATATTTTTTTACCGTCGATCAGCTGGGATGTAAGTAATAATTTTTTTTAATTTTTTAATGTCAGAACAAGTAATAAAAAAAAAATAATATATATTAATTATTAATAAAGGATTTTAATTTATTTTTTTATGAAATATAAAGGAAATATTAAATAAAAAAAACACTATATATACTCTGTTAATAAATTATTGTTATTTATATTATTATTATTATTACAGTTAGTATATTTATTACATATATATATATATATATATTTATTTATATTTATATATACCAAAACATAAAAGAATAAAATAATTCACAGCCAAATAAGTTCAAACATCACTCGGACAATTTTACTCAAATATTATTATTATTATTATTATTATTTTGTAATTAGCTTGATCAATAAAATAAAAAAATGAGTATCATTCATGCTTTACGGCTATTTACAATTTCATTTGCACAATAATTAATAATTATTAATTAATAAAAAATAATAATAATTATTATTGTTTTAGTCTAATAAAAGTTAGATGTCAGAAAAGCATTTCCTAATTATTATTATTATTATTATTATTATTATTTATAGTAGCGTTACCGATCGCTTAGTGATTAATTAATTAATTATTATTTAATGTATGAACAATCTAGCGATTAAATAAAGATATTTATATATTTTATTTTAACTTATCAGTTATCAGTTAAGATATTTAATATTTATTGAGTGTATCAATAATTAATAATTAATTAGTTAATAATAAATATCATTATTATTATTATTATTATTATTATTATTATTATTATTATTATTATTATTATAACTATTGTTATGAATTATGTAGCGATATATATTCGATTTACAATGCAATATTTACGATAGCTATATTAATTACAAATTTTAATTAGTGTTACTTAAATTTAACGCTTTTATTATTAAAAAATTATTATTGATATTTTTAAATAAATATATATAAAAAACAATTTTGAAAATTCATGTAGCCTAAGAAGAAGAAAAATTGTCTTTAGTAACGGTTGCTGAGGTAAAAATGACCTTAGTTACCGTTGCTAAGAAGAAAAATTACCATAGTTACCGTTGCTAAGGAAGAAAATAACCATAGAAACGGTTGCTAAGGATAATAATGACCTTAGTTACCGTTGCTAGGGAAAAATTGACCTTAGTTACGGTTTTTAAGGATCAAAATGACCTTAGTTACCGTTGCTAAGAAGAAAAATTACCATAGTAACCGTTGCTAGGGGAAAAAATGACCATAACAACCATTTTTAAGGAAAAATTTACCATAGTAACGGTTGCTAAGGAAAAAAATCTCCATAATAACCGTTGCTATCGCAACAATTATCATAGCAACGGTTGTCAAGGATAAATACTCCATAGCAACCGTTGCTAGGAATGAATATTTCCATAGCAACCGTTGCTAGGATCAAATTTTCCATAGAAACGGTTGCTATGAAGCATTTTATCTTCTTTTATTATGGATTTCCAAAAAAAAAAAAAAAAAAAAAAACAATAAATTAACTCAAAATAAAAAAACAACAAAAAAATATATAATTTAATTAAAAAAAATTCACTTTATTATATTTCGTCATTTTAACTGGCACATACAACCTTTACCTCAGTACCATTACAGACAATAATAATAATAATAATAATAATAATAATAATAATAATAATAATAATAATAATAATAAAACAATATAATAATAATAATTCAAATGAAAAATATCTTAACGGAAAAATATAATGTCTTAACTTACAATAAAAAATAATTAAGTCTAATTATTGATTTTTTTTTCTCTTCTTATAACCTTGAAAATTTTTTTTTTCCGGTTTTAAAAAAAATCAACAAGACATAACCTCGTTAAAAAAAAAAAAGATTAATAAAAACGTTAATTGTCAACAGTAATATCTAGTGTAACTACGTACATCACAATTAATATTACACTGTACAATAATAATTAAATGGCCGTTAAAAAAAAAAAGAATTGTTAGTTATTAATATAATTAATAAATGATTAATGAAAAAAATTAATTTAATAATTAATGAATATGTAACCATTATATACATAAAATAAATATCAACATTAAGCTACCTACAGTCGGTAACAGGTAACTTACCGACAGTAGATACTGGCTCATTATAAAAATCATATCATATTACCTAATTAATAATTAATAGCTTTTAATTAACCGTTTTTAATAATAATAATAATTAATTAACAAAAATCTCGCTTTATACAAGGTACCATAAATTGCACTGACTGTTAATTAGAACTTAATTAATTTAATTAATTAATTAATTAGGTGTTAGGGAGACGATTGATTGTTTCAGAGCCAATCGGATAATTAATATAATCATTAATTATTTGGCACATAAGTTATTATCACATGCTCCAAACCACCCGCTAATTATAATTATAATTCTTTTTTTTTTTTATTTGTTAATAATAATTCATTCGAGAGATTCAATAAATTAAAAAAATATATATAATATAATATAATATAATATAATATAATATAATGATTATTGTTGTAATTGTGATTGTGAATTTTAGTGATACTTATTATTTATTTATTTTACTTTTTTATTACTTATGAGAGAAGGCTAAGTACGTGCTTATTGAAGCGACTTTACAGTTTACTTTTGGGAGTCTTCTAGTTGGCTTTTGGGTCTACTTTACCGGCTGGTGGTTATTTTTCGGTTTTACCGACGGTTGGTTAGATTTTTTTTTGGAAAAATTGGAACAGTAAAAAAAAAATGAAAATTTAGGATAATTTAATGTAATAATAGAATTATTTGTGAAAACTACAAATTCTTGGGAAAATAACTACAAATTTCTTTTGTAGTGGGAGAGAAAAATTGGAAAATCAAGAAAATTGAAAATTTGGAGGAAAATTCAATATCTTAATCAAAATACTTACTAAAAACGTATCGGGAAATTTTCTTAAAAATAACGACCAACTCGTTAAAGTCCTACAGTGAAAATAAAATAAATTAGACCATAGAAGTACTCAGTACCCTTCCTATGAATAGTCTTAAACATGTTTTGATTATAAATTCCCTATATAACATTCCAGAACAGAACAAACCACACCTCTAAATATCCTCAACTGGTGATCGCCATTATTATTTTCTAAATCAGCAATCCTTTGGTGTCAGTCAAGTATTAAATCCTCGATAATTTTTTTTGTTCAATGGCACTTTTACCAGAATAGTTCGCGCGTGAGTTTAGACGCTCCGGGTTGCCAGATCGGCTGACCCGGAGCCGAGGTTCAATCCTCATCATGGTGTCTAGGACTGGCGTCGTACCCGCTAATGGACCCGGAATTATCAGGCGAAAAGTCCATCATGTCTCCGGGAGAGAGACTGTCCTGGGGATAGTAGAAGTTGGAGTGCTCCTGGCTGGGTCCAGCCCCGTTCATCATCACCGGAGGAGATGGCGAGGGTCTGCCAGCTGAGGGACCAGGTCCAGCTGGATGAGACATGTCGCCAACTGGACTCAAGAATCCCATTTCAGGGCCACCTTCTCGACACCAGAGCTGTCTCATTTCCTGCCTTCGTTGACGCATCAACGACTTGTACTCGGAGATCCTCATCTTCTTGCCGTCTACGATGCAGGTTCTTTTGGGCCTGGGCCGGTACCTGTAGTCCGGGTGCTTCTCCATGTGGAGCTTCGACAGCCTGGACTGCTCCTCGTAGTACGGCTGTTTCTCCGAATTAGACATGGCCTTCCACCTGGCGCCCAGGATCTTTGATATGTTTGAGTTGTGCATGTCCGGACAGGCTTTCAAGATCTTGCGCCGCTCGTCTTTCGCCCAGACCATAAACGCGTTCATCGGCCTCTTTATGTGCGGCTTGTTTTCACTTTCTCGCTTCTGCTGGCGCACCATTTTCGCCTTTTCTGTTATGTCCTCTGGGACTTTGTAGCCTGGGTCTCGCCAAACTGGAAATTAAAATAAAAAATTAGCTCTGAAGTGTCAAATACTAGGTTAGAATGATCAAGGACCAGTTCATAGCAAAATAAAAGGTGAGGAACATCAAGGACCAGGTGCTAAACATCAAGAACCAAGTTAGAAATGTCAAGAACTGGATGAGGAACATCAAGGACCAGGTCAGGAGAAAGTTCTGGATGAGGAACATCAAGGACCAGGTCAAGAACATCAATAACCAAGTTAGGAACATCAAGAACTGGGTTAGGAAGATCAAGGACCAGGTCAGGAGAAAGTTATGGATGAGGAACATCAAGGACCAGGTCGAGTATATCAAAAACCAAGTTAAAAATGTCAATAACTGGGTCAAAAAAATCAAGAACTAGGTTATAGCACAGTAATAGGTAAGGAACATCAAGAACCAGGTGAAAAATATTAAGAACGAAGTTAGGAATATCAAGAATTAGGTCAGGAACATCATGGACCAGGTTAGAAGAAAGTATTGAATAAGGAATATCAAGGACCAGGTGAGGATGGTCAAGGACCAGGTCAAGAATATCAAAAATCAAGCTAGAAACGTCAAGAACTGGGTCAGGAATATTAAGGACCAGGTCATAGCACATTGATAGGTAAGGAACATCAAGGACCAGGTCAAGAACATCAAGAACCAAGTTAGGAACGTCAAGAACTGGGCCAGGAAGATCAAGAACCAGATCATAGCACAGTAAAAGGTAAGGAACATCAAGGACCAGCTGCTAAACATTAAGAACCAAGTTAGGAATGTCAAAAAATGGGTGAAGAACATCAAGAACCAGGTCAGGAGAAAGTACTGAAAAAGGAACATCAAGGACCTGGTCAAGAACAATAATATCTAAGCTTCAATGATCAACCAATTACTTACGGTGGGTGCTAGCCAGGAAATCTTGATCATCAGACATTGCATCTTCCCGAGAAAACTGTTTCATTGGTCGCTGCGGAGATGCTGATGCTCCGGACTGCAAACCGTAGATCCCATGCATAGCAAAGTGCTTTTCCACAGCTGCGCTTGACGCTGCTGATGCTCCAGGTTCGTCTTTTACCATTACTGCAAAGCAAAGGACAATGAAATAAGATCCAATACAAGATTTAAAATTGATTATCAATGACTGGTTGACTACTTACTTGGCGAAGACATGGACCCTAGATGAGGAGGAAGACCAGCGTAGGGCAAGCTGGGAAGGTAGTTTCTGGGCATTGGCAGCCCTGGGGGAAACAATTTCGGAGCAGTAGCAGCCAGAGGTTGCTCTTGACTGCTGCTACCTTCTCCAGGTGAGGAATCAGCACACTTGGGCTTGGTCAGGTTCAGCGGAGCGTCGGGATCTTGCAGGGGTGCTGTTGTTGGAGCGGCAGCTACTGGGGTAGGTGATCGCTCTTTTTCTAAAGGGGTCCAACCTTGGGGTTCACGCTGGATCATCTGGAACCAGAATCAGTAATCAGGATGATAATAAAGATTATCAGCAGAATTGAAGATTAAATACTTACATTGGCGATAGAGTTGATATGTTTGTTCCCCGTGGAGGTGGGTGGAGGCATAGAGGACACTGGCAACCCTCTAAGCTGCTCCAGAAACGGAAGGAACATCAGGGACTGGGTGCTCGGCATGATCTGACCCTTGGAAATCTGGTTCTGCAGCTCCTGGAGGTTGTTGTGGTGGTGGATCATTTGCTCTTGCTGGCGCTTCAGCTGCTCGCTTTGCACGCGCTGAAGCTCCATCTGTTTGGCGTCCATATGTGGATAGTGCTGCAAGCATAGCAAGGAAATGTTATTAAAGTCTGCTTGCTCAGCCCTGGAGTGTCGTGCATTGTTTATAGAGCTTCGGGTGGCATTGTTCGAGCTTTTGTCACCGCATAATACTGCGACTTAATCGATTTTTAAGGATTTTACCTCAAGAAGACTAGACTCCTCCAAGAAGATTGGAGTGTATGACATTAAATTACTCCGAAACTATGGAAGTTAGGGAAAAATGTTTCAAACAAAAATTGTAGCATTTTTTAAGCCCTACAAAAAAGCTTCTTACTAATTTTGTCGTAGGACCCATATTTAAGGCCTTGGTAGCGTTTGAATAGTGAAAATAAGCTTTTTGATGAAATTTTATATATGGCATGGATTAAATCGGAAACTATGGAAGTTAGAAAAAAATTTTTTAAACAAAAGTTGTAGCTTATTAAAAGGACTATCGAAAAGGTTCTTATTAATTTTGCCGTAGGACCCATATTTAAGGCCTTGGTAGCGTTTGAATATTAAAAGTAAGCTTTTCGGTGAAATTTTATGTATGGAATAAATCCGAAAGTATGATAGTTAGAATAAAAAGTTTCAAACAAAAGTTGTAGTATTTTAGCAGATCTAAAAGAAAATCCCCTTGATTTGCAACCACAGTAGAAAAAAAAAACCAAATAAAAGCATTTCAAACGGATTTTTAATTATTAATTTATTAAAACTGAAGAGTTTGTTACGGCACGTGCATCCTCTGGATTCTTGATTCGAGTGGATCCCACTGTACTCGAATCCGTTGTTACTGCTTGAAGAATTCAAGACTTTATAACCGAGAATATAAACCACCCATCCCGTTCTTCCCCTACTACCCCCTCCCCCCCTCTTACTTCTCTTACTCTTAACGCTGTGTTCTTATGTGGTCGCGTGCGACACATACAAAATTAATTAGAGAGCCAAGAGCCAACGAGGGGTCACATTGTTAGGGTGCAGCTAGAAATTCATTGCAACAAAACTATTGTAACCGCTTGTTTTTAAACCCAACCATTCTGTTTCTCGCGGTCGCGCCTTCCGTTAACGATTACGCTTTCCTTATTTCCATTTAGACCTCAAATATTATCATATTTTTTAGATTAATAACCCAATTAACAAAAATTTTCACGGAAAAGTCAATTTAGTCAATTTAAAAGGCCATCAAGGCCTCAAATATGGGTCCTATGGCAAAATTAATAAAAATCATCGATATTACTTTTAATAAGCTACAACTTTTGTTTGAAACTTTTTTTTCTAACTTCCATAGTTTCCGATTTAATCCATGCCATGTATAAAATTTCACCGAAAAGCATATTTTTACTATTCAAACGCTACCAAGGCCTTAAATATGGGTCCTACGACAAAATTAGTAAGGACCTTTTTTTGTAGGGCTTAAAAAATGCTACAACTTTTGTTTGAAACTTTTTTCCCTAACTACCATAGTTTCGGAGTAATTTTATGCCATATATAAAATATCACCGAAAATCGGAATTTTAACATCTGAAAGTCAGATAATTGACCTCGGACCGAAAGAATTGACAAACCGGGGTGATAAATCCCGCGAATAGGTAACGTTTTATATGTATAGAGTAATTACAAGACGAAAATAGCGGTTGCTATTCATATTTCGGAGTGTTGTGCTGCCGTTGATGCGGATCATCAGAGTACTAAGAGAGATACAGATGCATAATATAACAGTGATGGTAATATTATCGTCCAGTCTTTAAATATAGAGAAAACTCGAAAGAAAGACAAGCACTAGCTTAGACACAAGACAGAAGATAGAAGATACAGAAGCTACTGAAGGGGAGCTAGTTCCCCCCCACTATAGACGTAAATGTGAATGGAACGCTTGCTGGCACCCCGCCTGCTGTTTATATTTAGCATCTGTGGGCGGTATTGCTGTCATGAATACGTATCAGAGGCATAACTGAGCGCTTATATACTCTGATTTCAATTAATAACCGAGTTCTCGGATTATTATCAACGTTTTTTCTATTTTTTACGGTTAAATCTGATTTTCATAAGCGAAATTGACTATTTTACACGGATTTTTTTATATGGCATCAAATTACTCCGAAACTATGGGAGTTAGAAAAAAAAGTTTTAAACAAAAGTTGTAGCATTTTTTAAGTTCTATAAAAAAGGTCCTTACTAATTTTGTCGTAGGACCCATATTTAAGGCCTTGGTAGCCTTTTTAGCAAAAATACGCGTTTCTGCGAAATACTATATATGGCATCAAATAACTCTGGAAATATAATAGCTAGAAAAAAAAGTTTCAGACAAAAGTTGTAGCATTTTTCAAGCCCTAAAAAAAAGTCCTTACAAATATTGCCATAGGACCCATATTTAAGGCCTTGGTAGTAAAAATACTAAAAATACGCGTTTCTGCGAAATTCTATGTATGGCATCAAATAGCTCCGAAACTATAATAGCTAGAAAAAAAAGTTTTAGACAAAAATTATAGCATTTTTTAAGCCCTAGAAAAGGTTCTCAGTAAATTTATCCTAGGATGAATTTTTACGGGGTAAAATGGGTTATAAATAAAAAAAAATGATTTTTTATCGATTTGGCTTTTTTGTGACAAGACTTTTGGGGGTGATAGGGGGGGGGGGAAAGTGTAGCAGAAGAAAGTCGAAGTAACGCGTGTCATCTCTCCCAGTCTCTGGGGAACCAAGTATGTGTCTGAGATCAGCAGAGAAGCCTCGAGATAAGAAAGACAATAATCCTTCTGACGGGTGACTCGGGCTTATTTTATTCCTCTCCCGTCTCAGAGGTTTATTTTTGCTCTTAGCCGTCAGATGGAGTCGGGTAAGTAATCGGATGAGTGTCGGGTATGGTTAATTCTCTTCGATTAGTCGTAGAAGCCTTGGGGTCAATTCGGTTGTACCGTTTTTGGGTTTAATTTTTTTCCTATTCAAAATTTTGTTTAAGTTTGAAGAAAATAGAAAAAAAATAAATAAAAAGTAAACATTGAATATGCAGATGATATTTAGGTACATATATTAGACAAGTATGTTCTCTGATCTATGATTATGTGTTCCTTGATGTCTTTACGCTTCACGTGAAAGACTTTAGCTTCCGGCGAAACTGTAATATTTTTATTCCCATTCCAATAAATGTTATGGATAGTCAATAACTCTGTATATTTATTCTAATTTATAGCCTTTTTGTAAACAATATTCACTACGGAATTATTTTCCGAGTATGAATAATTTTAAAACTCTTTCCCCACTATCAGAGCCTTAAATATCAATTTTAGAAAAAAAAACATTAAAGCTTTTTTGTAGGGCTTGAAAAAAGCTACAACTTTTGTTTGAAACTTTTTTTCCTAATAATAATATTTTCCGAGTTGATGACCCCATTAATCAAAATTATCACGGAAAGCTTATTATGTCAATTTAAAACGTCATCAAGGCCTTAAATATCACTCTTACAAGAAAATTACTAAGGACCTTTTTGATAGGGCTTACAAAAAGCTACAACTTTTGTTTGAAACATTTTTTCCTAATAATAATAATTTCCGAGTTAATGACCCTATTAATCAAAATTATCACGAAAAGTTTATTTTAATTTTTTTTTGACATTTTCTTTGTAAAAAAATTAAAAGCAAATAGCTCGGTTGTTAAAAAAAATAAAATTGCGCGTGTGATAGTTCCTAATTAACGTCTTTAAGGTCTTAAAATTCCAAACAAAGGTTGATAAAAAATAAAAAAAAAAGTAAAATAAATAGCGGTCTCGCGTTTGATTAATAATAATGACGATAAAAATAAATGTATGAAGGAGGAATGCAGTTAAAAATTACTAAAAAATAATAATAATTACATTGAGAGCGACGCAATCGATCTTGGGTGACTTTATCAGTTTAAAATCTCACATCTTATACACCGCTATATGTATATGACCGTGTAAGATTAAATTAAATGGAAATACTTGATGGCACATTGAGTAGAGGCTCTTCTTCTTCTCGGTCTTCAGAGAAGAAAATTCCAGCATCCATGTGAATGAGCCGAGTCGGCCAGCTGCTATGGCATTCCGACATTCTGTCACTTATTTTTTTTAAAATTACCCTATTACATTTTCCCGCATCCGGAGGTACCAACAAAATCCGACGGTAATTAACTGACTAAACAAAGAATTTTGATTTACTGACACACATGATCTATAGACGCCCATAACTTGGAAATTATTATTATTAGGAAAAAAAGTTTCGAACAAAAGTTGTAGCTTTTTGTAAGCCCTATCAAAAAGGTCCTGAGTAATTTTTTTTTAGGAGCGATATTTAAGGCCTTGATGACGTTTTAAATTGACCAAATAAGCTTTCCGTGATAATTTTGATTAATGGGGTCATTAACTCGGAAATTATTATTATTAGGAAAAAAAGTTTCAAACAAAAGTTGTAGCTTTTTGTAAGCTCTATCAAAAAGGTCTCAAGTAATTTTTTTGTAGGAGCGATATTTAAGGCGCTGATAAAATAAAAATTAAAATTAAATGCCTATTTAAGAAAATCCCCTTTTAAAAGCATTTTTCTTTCGAGAAAAATTTTCTTGGATAATTAAAATCATAATTATATGAAGAACAAGCCCCACAAAGTGACTTAACAGCCACGCGAGTGCTCAGAGTAATGACCATTTTGAAAGAAAAATCTTATTATAAACCTCGAAGCTTAAAAAAATAAAATAATAACAAAAATAAAGACTTTGATAATTACAATCTATTTTTTTCGTCATTAACTCCCTCATTAACATTCAGCCCCATTGTGATTCATTATTTCTGTTACAATTATTGAAGCTCGTTACTGAATTTACGCGGCAATTACAGTAATTATATAAAGTTACTTGACTGAGAAAACACAAGAAATATTAAATAAATGCATATAAAACATGTACCGAGTCAATGTAATGAGTTATGTGTTTTATACGTGACAATAGGGGGCTTGTAATTTATCTTTTAATTAAGTACCTTCATTTTTATTTATCTACAAGAGTATATTGTCTCTGTTTCAGGGTTTAATTGCAGCTGGTTACTTTTTTCCGATTTTTCGGAAAAAAGTGGTGGGGGTAGAGGTTGAAAAATTTTTTTTGAGCTTTTTTGACGACGAAGGGTTGTAGAGAATGAAATTTTGAAGAAAATTATGTATAATAAAGGTACTTTTGGTGGAAGAAAAGCCGGAAAATTCGCTAGAAAAGTCAAATTTTTAATAAAAATGTTATTTTGAGGACTTTTAAGCATTTTTGATGGGGGAAAAAATTTTTTTTTTATTTTTGACAACGAAGGGTTGTAGAGGATGAAATTCTGAAGAAAATGACGTATGCCAGAAGTACATTAAGTGAAAATCAAGCAAGTGGGAAGAGTTTGAAAATTAATTTTCGGATTTTTTCCTCTTAAATTTCTTCAGAAGCTTCCGGAAAATTTTCTTGAGACTTTTCCTAATTTTGAGGTCTCCAAATATTAAGCCTGTACCTGATAGGGGATTGTAAAAAATTTTCCAAGGCAGAAAATTTGCGGAAAACTCGGAAAATTCTCGGAAAACTACCAAAATCACTCCGATTACCCCCGAAACTAAATAATTTTGTAAATCCAATCACCCCGTTTTCCCAAGTGGCAACGATCCTTGAAGTGATGGCCCCTACGTGACCAGAATCACCAGTTGAGTATCGCCCTGGCTCCTAATTTTCCCGGAAAATTCCTCCCCCCTTTTTCTCCCTTTGGCTGCTAAAAGCGCCTTTGATGTTTCATTTTAAATTAAAACAATCTCTCATATATAAATCCATCTCCCATATATATCCGGGAACAAACATAACGTATAGAAAGAAGATACAGTGATGCAGTGAAAGGGTAGAATATTAATAAACCGTTGACTGGGTGATGATAGCGGTTTCCATTGACAACGACGACGCGTTTCATTTGTACTAAATAAAGGCTTTCATATATATATACACTCGTTTGTGTTACAAAGTAGCATTCTCTATTGACTTACACACACACACACACACACACACACACACACACACCCACCCCCACCCCTTTGCCTCTCACACACGGCTGCCCCTACTACGCTCACGGATCCAGAAATAGTCGTTGAAATCGTCGTAGAAAAATAAAATTTTCCCGAATTTTTCCGGAAAATTTCTAGAGATAAAAATCAGAAAATTTTCCACTAAAAGGAAAATTTCGGAAAGTTTTCCCAAAAATAAAATTCCCTGAATTTTTCCATTTCCAATATGCATGTGACGAAATTCAGCGGAATGATAATGGTAATGGTAATGCTCGTAATGGTCACGGAGATGCACGGTGTATTGAATTCCTGTTTGTAGTATATCCGCGCAGTGTTTGTCCATTTGCGTACGGGTTTATGGGAATTAACGGCATTGTGGGCGTTTTGATCCCGGCAAAGCCACACACAGATGATATTCACAATATACACAAAGGGACCCTCGATAAAGAGGAAGAGGGTGAGAGGCGGATTTAAACCGAAACGGGGATTGACGACCCGTTTCCATTCGAGGGTGATTATCGGCTCTGTTTGCCAGTATTGGGATATCGCTTTCATATACCCAAGGCCTCAAATATGCAGATTTGCTGAAAAATTGAAAATTTTTTTCCTTCAAAAGCCTCCTGTCTTTGGGAAAATTGATTTAGAGAGCTGGGATATGGCTTTTTGGGGTCGTTTTAGGGGATATTATAAACCTTCGTTGCGGGTAGTAAATCGGCGTTACCAAAATTTTGAATTTTTGGATTTTTAAATGCTTCCCATTTCCTCAAAAATGAACTTAGCGACTTGGAAAAAATTTTTTTATCATCTCTAGAGTGTCCTTTACAAACCTTCGTTGCCAAAAAAAAATCTGAGAACCCAAAATAAATTTTCAAAAATCTTAATTTCTTCAAAAGCTTTCCATTTACTCAAAATTCAACTTAGCAACTTGGAACAAATTTTTTTATGATCTCTAGTATGCCCGCTCTAAACCTTCGTTGTAAAAAAAAAATCTGAGACCCCAAAATAATTTTCCAAAAATCTGACTTTTTTTAAAAGCTTCCTATTTCTTCAAAAATTGACTTAGCGACTTGAAAAAATTTTTTTTATTATCTCTGGAGTATCTTCTACAAACCTTCGTTGCAAAAAAAAAATCTGAGACCCCAAAATAAATTTCCAAAAATCTGATTATTTTCAAAAGCTTCCCATTTATTAAAAAATCAACTTAGCGACTTGGAAAAAATTTATCCGTAACCTTGAAAGCATTCCCTACAAACCCTTGACGTCTAAAAATTTTCCATGGAATCTCTGTCGAGCATCTCTTTGCCATCACAATGCACCTGCCGTGAGCAGGTACAGTAGCAAGTGAACTGGTTTTATCCGGAAGGTAAGAGTAGGGACTCCCCACTCCTAACAGTTGACTGTACGCCCTCCGGTGGAGTTTAAAGAGAGGATAGGAATTGAGACCGCCTTCATGTCTCTCAGCCACCCACTCATTCTTTTTTAAATTGCTTTCAGTTTTTTATTTAAATTGTTCTATTTATTCTTTTATTTTTTTTTTTTTTTAAGTCTACCGGGCACTTCCGCTGGTACTTCCCGATAACTTCAAGCTTTTCAATTTGCTTTTTATATTTATTTTCCTCAATATATATTTTTATTCATCTTTTTACTCGTGTTCTCTTAAATTTTCTAGCATCTTAGCCGGTCTTGTGATTTATTGCCATGGAAAAAAAAACCGCAATACCATCGCGGAAATTTACTACCAATGGGTTTCCTTTTTACCCAACAAAATTCACGTCTAAATATATGTATATGGAAGTACATGTCAGGATATGAAAAAAAAAAAAAATAAATAAATTCTCCCTAAAGGAAAATTGAATTTTTCTAAATTAATTCCTTTTACTACGCAATAAAATAATATAAAATTAATTTGAAAAAAATTGCATGTTGCAACCAAACAAGTGAGACAATAAATTGCGCTGATAATTTTCTTAAAAAAAAAAAAACTATAACTATCTTACACGCATCTGAGTGTTTGCATAAACTCATTCGGAGAATCGTTGGGTTCTGCAAGTACCAGGCCTTTTATAATGCAACAAACATAATATTGCCAGTGTAATAACGGTCATACAAAACCTCGGACATATTATCTGCACGCGCACGCATTTTTGTGGTTGCAGGACGTACTCTTAATGACCTTACTCTCTTTGTTTGTTCCATTACTCTTATTATTATATTTTTTTTTTCACTGCTGTTATAATGTTATTATTATCGGTTAACATGTAATACACGTTGTATTTTTTCACCCCGAGTTTATCACAATGTCACGTTTTGTTTTAATTATACTGATAACAGTAACAAATTGCCACGGCGCAATTAGTCACTTTTCCTGTTTCACGGATTTTCTTAGTGGGATGCCTTAGTAGGCTAAACTATTGGTCCTATCAAAAAACACCAAGGACTATCTTGTAGCTCTGCTCAGGCCCTACAAAAAACTACTAGGAAATTTTTCTCTAGCTCTTATAGATTCCAAGATATTACCTGATCAATTGGAACCCTCGGGTTGATGAGTCTTTTTAATGGGACGCCTTAGTAGGCTAAACTATTGGTCCTATCAAAAAACTTCCAAGGACTTTTTTGTAGCTCTACTCAAGACCTACAAAAAACTACTAAGTTACTTTTCGCTAGCTTGGATATTTTCCGAGATACAGCGTGATTAGTAAAAGGCTTAGTTTAGCAGACAACAAATCTAAAATAAAGCATAAAGCTTTATTAAAATAATAGTAGAGCATGTCACTAAAATATCTGTCCCATTTAATCGGCTTACGACCGGTGAAATAACACATTACTGCATGAATTATTTAAACAGATAAAGTATTAAACTTTCCTGTTTATTCATTTTTCTGCAGACTATAAAACTAATAAAACTATTGAAAGTTGGCATGGAATTCAAATCAATCATCATTGAAGGTGGATTTTTTGACTGACTCGATAAAAATTATTTAGATAATAGGCTATCGGAATTTAAATTGTCAATAGTGTACCTTTTGATCCTGCTGGAGTGATAGTTGCTCGCGTATCAGCTGTAAATGCTTTATCATCTCGTCGAGTCGTCGCTCTTTTTCAGCGTTTGACTCCGCACAGAGGACGCGGTGGAGCGCTAACGCCCCGTCTTGGTACCCCTCGGTAATTGCCGTGGTGGTAGTGTTGGTGGTGTTGCTACTGCTACAGGATATTGTTGTTGTTGGTGTCCTTCTGCTTGCAGAAGGTGGTGATGCTGCTACGCTGTTTGATATACTGCTGTATCCGCTGCTGAAGTTATAAATTTTATTCTGATTAAGTTTAATGCAATCATTTTGGTGATCAGGTTCATGGTGACAATAATGGTGATCAGGTTAATGACAACAAAATTGATGATCAGGTCAATAACAACAATGGTTATCAAGTTTATAACAACAATAATGATGATCATGTTGATAACATTGATAATGGTGATCAAGTTAATGATGACAATAATGGTGATCAGGTTAATGAAAACATTATTGATGATGAAGTTGATGACAGCAACGATATTGATGATCAGATTTATAACAATAATAATGATGATCAGGTTGATAACAACAATATTCATGATTGGGTCAATAAGAACAATGGTTATCAAGTTTATAACAACAATAATGATGATCAGGTTGATAACATTGATAATGGTGATCAAGTTAATGAAAACAATAATGATGATCAGGTTAATGAAATCATTATTGATGATGAGGTGATAACAACAATATTGATGATCAGGTTAGTGATAACAATGATGATGATCAGGTTAATGATAACAATGTTGATGATAAGATTGATAACAACAATAATGATGATCAGGTTGATGACAACAACAATATTGATGATCAGGTTAATGGAAACAATTTTGATGATAACGATGATGACAACAATAATGGTGATCAGGTTGATAACAACAATATTAATAATCAGATTGATAACAATATTGATGATCAGGTTGATAAAAATATTAATGATCAGGTTAATAAAAACAATTTTGATGGTACGGATAATAACAACAATAATAATGGTGATCAGGTTAATGATTCCGATATTAGTGATGAGGTGATCGATGATCACGCAATCGGTGATCAGGTTAATGATGGTGATATTGATGATCAGGTAAATGAGATTCCTTAACCAAAAATAACCAAAAAAAATTGTATTTCATTAAAAAAAACCGTGAAATTAAAAATGAATACTACTCTCTAGACTGTCTGGCGTAATAACAACTATAACAATAATAAAATATAAATATATACGACGGTTGCAGTATTATCAAAGAATAATGGTAAGCATAAGAAAGGAGCGAGGTCATACTCATACATCACACGGTACAATAGAGCAAGCTATCATTGAAAAGAACTTGGGAGATGACACCAACGCTCATCCCTTGTTGGGATGTGTTTTGTGTGTCTATGCCTATCCAGCTCACACATACACTTGCACTGAGTATAATGGTTGGCGACTTGTTCGGGCTGACACAACACAACAACTAGTGTCGCGGTGTAGATGCTGGGTAAAGGGAGAAAAGAGTGAAATGAACCGGAGGCGGAGGTTGAAACAACGAGAGTAGAGCTGTAACCGCGAGTAGGTGTAGAGATAGAGGGATTTTAAAGTGAGTGTCGAGGGTTGCTATCCCGGGAGCCATCACCGGTGCAAACATACCCTGTTGAGATTGCGGTACTGCGACCCTATTTATTATTCACTACCTCTAGCCTCCTAGTTTTTCCACAGTCTCTTCTAAAGCAACTGTACTATGGATACAAAGGGCTTTAGTTGTTCTCTTGCTCTATTTTAGACATTTTTTAAAGTAGGCCTACCTCCAAGAGCTAGCATTGATCTACAATACACAAATATTCCAGTCATAAATGATTATGATAATGATGTCAGTCCAGTGGGACGCCTTAGTAGGCTAAACTATTGGTCCTATCAGAAAACACCAAGGACTATCTTGTAGCTCTACTCAAGCCTTATAGCAAACTATCTGGAAATTTTTCTCTAGCTCTTATAGATTCCGAGATATTGCCTGATCAATTGGAACCCTCGGGTTAATGAGTCTTTTTAATGGGACGCCTTAGTAGGCTAAACTATTGGTCCTATCAAAAAACTTCCCAGGACTTTTTTGTAGTTCTACTCAAGACCTACAAAAAATTATTTAAATACTTTTCGCTAGCTTGGATATTTACCGAGATAGAGCGTGATTAGTAAGAACCATCTAACTCAGATCATAGAATTTGTTTCTAAGCGATTTAAAAAAGACTTTTTAGCGACCCTTTTAAAAGTTAAAGATTATCAAAAGAAAGCCTGTGAATGTTGCAACATATCCTTGTTGATTTAGCGCTAAATATCAATGGCAATATTTAATTCAACACACTAATCTCCAGACAATTAGTACATGCTAGCGCATAATTTAACAGACTATTTAACAAACAAGAGATGTAAGAGCACATTTGGTCACGGACGTTAGCTATTAATACCCACAAAAATATTGAGGGCCGTTAGGTATTTAAATTAAGAATTGAGAATTGAATCAAAGGCAACACATTTGAACTAATTCCAGAATTTACTGACGACATATCAAGCTAGTAAGCCAAGAGATTTAGATTTTTGCATCATTATTAGAAAACAAATGAACAACTGGGTAAGATTACTAACCTATGCGTGTTGTGATTCGTAGGAGCGGTCAAGGGTGGCGACCTCCTGGCCTCATCTTGAAGGGAAAGCGACCCGCTGTTCATCTTGCAGGTGAGTCTCTTTAAAACGTCGTCCATGGACCTTTTTGGTGGGACAATGGCGCCGTTGTTGCTGTTGTTGTTATTGTGGGTGACGCTGTTGTTGTTCAGCAGAGGATGCTGCTGGTAGTACTCGTGAAGCGTAGGCGGGCTCCCGCACTCCGAAGAGCTAGCTGGCTCCAAGCTGGACACCGACAGGGTGTAAGCTTCCTGGGCGACGTAAATTCTCGGTCTTTTGGTGGGTGGCGGAGAGTTGGGCGACGGAGAAGGCGAATCCTGGAACTCTGGCTCGCTTATCGTCGGCGAAGAGCACCCCGAGGACTCGCAGTCCCTCTGGTTTGGAAAAAACTCTTCTCTGTGGTTGCTTTTTTCAGTCTCACCCTCGCTTCCCTCGCAGGCAACTGTCTCCTCTGTATCCTCGCCGCCCCCGCCCTCCGATAGCTTCGTTGGTGGCGATTTCCTCTTAGAGGACATCCTTAGTCTGCAACACAAGGGATTCCGATGGTTAGTCAGGGATAATACCAATGATGATGAAGGTGGCAAGTTAGTGGGACGCCTTAGTAGGCTAAACTATTGGTCCTATCAAAAAACTTCCGAAGACTTTTTTGTAGCTCTACTCAAGCCCTACAAAAAACTATTTAGTCACTTTTCGCTAGCTTGGATATTTTCCGAGATACAGCGTGATTAGTAAAAGTCTTAGCTTAGCAGACAACAAATCTAAAATAAAGCATAAAGCTTTATTAAATTAATAGTAGAGTATTTTTTCACCCCGAGTTTATTACAATGTGACGTTTTGTTTTAATTATACTGATAACAGTAACAAATTGCCACGGCGCAATTAGTCACTTTTCCTGTTTGCCGGATTTTCTTAGTGGGACGCCTTAGTAAGCTAAACTATTGGTCCTATTAAAAAAACACCAAGGACTATCTTGTAGCTCTACTCAAGCCCTACAAAAAACTACTGGGAAATTTTTCTCTAGCTCTTATAGATTCCGAGATATTGCCTGATCTATTGGTAGCCTCAGGTTGATGAGTCTTTTTAATGGGACGCCTTAGTAGGCTAAACTATTGGTCCTATCAAAAAACTTCCAAGGACTTTTTTGTAGCTCTACTCAAGACCTACAAAAAACTACTGGGTGACTTTTCGCTTGCTTGGATATTTTCCGAGATACAGCGTGATTAGTAAGAAGCCTTAGTTTAGCAGACAACAAATCTAAAATAAAGCATAAAGAAAAAAAATTGAAGGAATATTTACTATTTTACTATCGTAATTTTAATTAAATAAAATTAATGAGTTCAAAAAATATTATTAATTTTTTAAAATTAATTTTAAGATAAAAGGATTATTTTTTTAGATATTCTTTTCTTGGATCTCCTTAATCATCACTGAGTAAACTAAAGATCGATATTTAAGGCTCAAGCAATCTCAGCTAGGAAATTGGTCACTCCTTAGTTTAGAACAGTTTATCTAATTAACTAGAAGTTATTCACTAATTTCCGGAATAAAATAGCTCTAACTTAAATTATTACTTAATATATATACATATAATAAATTGATACAATAGTGATAATTATAATTCATAATAAAAGAAATATACTAAGTTTATATTTTATTAATGAAACTGATAAGTATTAGTTATTATTAAATAAAACAAATGTAATACTAAAAACTAAACTATCAAATATAACCTGATGACCCTTTATGGCTTAATGCGATAAAGAAAAAGATAATTATTCCGAATGATTGTAATAGTTTTTAATAAACTTGATGAGATTTTTGTTGTGGTTTTTTTTAAATTCAATGAATGATTTTACGCTTTTATTAATATTTTTATATTTTATATTCCCGATTATGAAAGAATAAATATGTATATTAATTGAGATTATTTAACGAGAGATACTACGAGTTAAAATGTATTACATAATTAAATATTACAATAAATTTAATTAAAAAAAAAAAAAAAAATATTTATTTTATTATTAGCAAATTTATGACGCGCGTTTAGACCAGGAACAATAACAGCGATCGTTGCGTATGCCAACGAGAATTTGAAACAATACCAAGTTATTTACTATAAATCAAAAATATATCCTAAAAATATCCTCCGAGACTTGATAACAGAGACATAAATAAATATGATGAAATAAACCTATGATTGACGTGTTTCGGGGAGTTTTTTTAGTTAATTCGGGGCAAGATGGGCCGCGGAGGTAGATAATTGGTTAGTAGAGATCAAGAGCTTTAAAATGAGTACCTACTTGATAGGGTTTAAGGGCATAGGGCCCGAGATAGGGCCCGAGGGGTTTTTGGCGGGAAAAATTGAATTTTTGAGGGGAAAAAATGGAATTTTGGAAAGAGGTGGAGGGTAGAGGGAGGCTTAGAGGGAGGCGAGAGGACAATGGTTTTTTGTGGTATGAGGCATCTGGTTTGACTCAGGCATGAGAAATATATAAGAAGACCAGAGTGTGAGTGTGTAGCGCCGGCTTAACTTCCGTCACTTGAACCCTCGTAAAAAAACATGGGAATAAAATACAAATAGATGTAGTATAGTCAGCAGCCTCCAGTTATAGCCCAGGCTTTTAGCATTCTGTTTTGTTCCGAGGAATGGATATAACGCATTTTTAGAGAATTTAGAAAATTCTTTAGGGGATAATTATTATTTTCTTTAGGTCGGAAAATTTTATTGCAGAGAAATAGTTGGAATTTTTTCAATAAAAGATTTGAAAAAAAAAAAATTTTTTTTTACGAAAATTGAATTTTTCTTGGAAAATTTTCCTTTTTTTCCAAAATTTTTCCTTGAAAAATTTTCTACCTGAAAATAGTTCTTCTAAAAGCTTGTATTTAACTTTTTTATCTAAATTTTCCTAAAAAAAATTTTCGCTTTTCCGAATTGTTTCCGGAAAATTCTCCATTTTTCCGTATTTTTCCTTCCAAAATTTTTTATCCAAAAAAATTCTTCTAAAAATCTTATAGTTAACTTTAAAACCTAAATTTTCCTCAAAAAAATTTTCCGCTTTTCCGTAGAATTTTCCCGAAAAATTTTCCACCTAAAAAAATTTTTTTTTTCTTTTTTTTAATAGCTTGTTAAAGTTCTATTAAAAAAAAATTACAATTTTTTTTTCCTCGGAAAATTTTAGATTTTTCCGGGTAAAAAATTCACCTTATTAAAAAAATTTTTCTCCCTAAATTTTCACGCCCTTATCGTCTATTCCCCAGCTAAATAATTTCCCTAAAAATTTTAATAATTTATCATTAAAAAAAAAAAAAACCGTCTATCCGCCGAAAAATAAATTATAATCTAAAAATAGTCTTACAATTGTTCCGAAGTCACAGCCTCGCTAAGTCACGAAGAATAGAGAGTCAAAAAGTAAAACAAAAAAATGAGACACACGTGTCGGTGACGTGGGAGGGCGCAAAACTAACGCGTTCCAGATGCCGGCTTTGTTCTCGATTCTCTCTTAACATTCTCTGTCCCTCTCACTTCCACTAAAAAACTCAAAATATAATATAATAGTATAAGTAATTCAACGGAGCCTTCACTTACATTATGTCGGCTAGAAAAAAAAATATAAAAACCTTCCACATGCAAGTTTTAGTATTATAGTTAAAAAAAAATAACTATATATTTTTAGATTTATTGTAAAGACTCGTAGAATGATCACAAATCTCAAGTCTACTCAGCCTAAGACTATGGATCGGTTGTTATTTAAAACACAAACATTATTTACGAGGTAGATATTGTAACCACTGTTACAGCTATTTGACACTAAACACATGGCCCCACTTCTTATTCTTAAATAAAGCTACTCTTTGGCCAGAAGGCCCGACTACGTCCCCTTAATTCCTTTATTTCTTTTATACCAACCAGTACTACAACTAGGGAGCCCATGTGCGATAGCCGGATGTGATTGTAAGCCACGTGGTGAACTAACTTTTAGTTTTTATTAAATCACGATCGTTATTTCCCCTCTTTTCGAGGAACTTCAGAGCCTAGAGCCTCAGGGGCCTCTACAATCTTAATACGCTCTTTGAATGCTTTAAAATGAGTACCCGCAAGCCTGGGTTCGCAAAGATAAGGGACATCGCGGAATCCGCGAATTGATCCGCGGTTTGGTTTTTTGGGATTTTTTTGGGGTAAGGTTGGAGATAGATGAAAATTAAAAAAAAGCAATTGTAGCTCTTGAAATTTACTACAAAAAAGGTTTTAGGTGATTTTGTCGTAGGAGTGATATTTACCGAGAAAATCAAGGGGGAAGTTAGAATCGGAAAAAAATACTGCGGAAATTGTAAATTTTCCCGCCCTTTTGTTTTTTAGGATTTTTTTGATGAAGGGGTGGAGATAGAAGAAAGTTAAAAAAAGGAAATTGTAGCTCTTGAAATTTTCTACAAGAGCTATTAGGTTATTTTTTCCTAGAAGTGATATTTACGGAGAAAATCACGGGTTAAGTTGGGACGAGACAAAAACACCCGCGGAAATTGTGAATTTTTTTGTGCTTTGGTATTTTAGGATTTTTTTGGGGAACGAGTGGAGATAGATGAATCTTATAAAAAGCAAATTGTAGCTCTTGAAATTTGCTAGAAAAAAGATTTTGGTGATTATGTCATAGGAGTGATATTTACGGAGAAAATCGCGGGGAAAGTTGGCCCGGGAAAAAGTGAAAATTTTTTTTTTTTTAGTGATTATTAATAATTTTAAACCCCCGTAGTGTGCAAAACGGTTGAGATATCGCGAGTTGAAAGAATCTAGAGGCAAGGTATCGGCACTAACGAGCAAATCGATTAATAAGAACGCCGCGAGATTAATTGACGCCGCGGGAAATCAACCCGCCGGGATTTATCATTCGGTGGTTCGCTTTGTACCTTCACTTTACGTATTATTTAAGAAAATTTGTCAGGCTAATATAAATTCACAAGTTCATGACTAACTTCAATATTTCATTATAATTTTAAATTTAACAAAAAAAAGTATGTGATATGTATATAATAAAAAAAAAAATTATTATTTTAATTGAAATAAATTTTTGAACAAATAAATTTTTTTTAATGCTTACTTTAACAATTAAAAAGAATTAATCGATTAATTTGATAATCAAATCGTTGATATATATATTAATTCATTTATTTGTTTAGTTGCTAAAAATCGTTTTATTTTCATTGTCGGTCAACCACACAAGATATCGCTAAACATATAACATGTTTTTTGGTGGAAATTTTATTTTGGATAAAAAATTATTCTTATTATTTTTTTATATTTTTGATATTTCACTTGAAAAATTAAGTTTTAAATATACTTAAAATATTATTTTTAAAGAGTGATATTTTCAAATGGGATGTTTTGGGGGAAATATTGAAAATATCAAAAAAATTTTCCTTTAAAAGTTGTAGAGGATAAAATTTTCTACAAAATCTATTAATCAAATATTTAAAAATGTCGATTTTAACCCAAAAAAAAATCCCATTTTAAAATCATCTAGCTCATTAAAAGA